TAATACTCACTATAACGGTCGGTCAGTGAAGGTATCGTGAGATTCTGCGGAAAGAACTGCAGACTGGTTATCTCTACTCTTTAGTATATATATATATACTAGTAACCGAGTACCGGTCTAGAGATTTGGCTGCTGAATCGAAAATAGTCGGATATCAATCTATTTTCCTGTTAGCTATACCAGAACTGAGTGGTAAACAGGAGAATTGGAACTATACTGAAAGGTTCTGGAATTTCTAACCGCTCATGGTTGCTAGATGTCAGAAAATTGCTTTATCTGCCATTGAACCCTGTGATTCTATAATGAGGACCCGGCAATAGCCATTGGATGACGAGCAGAAACTATTTGTCGAACTAGAGTACGCTACACGGACTCTAGTTCGACACGTACCGAAGTACGACAGGGGTGATATCTGGCTAATTTAATTTGTCGAAATATGGTGCGTGTCGAACTAGTACGTGAATCCTACTGAACACCACAAGTTATTTATCCATAACGTTCAGAACGTGAGAAGAGTTTAACTTTAAGTGAACGTATGTACAGAACATTTTTAGTGAACGTTCCGTACGTGCACTACAACTAAGATGTATAGACTATAGACGGATTGAAATTTGATCTATAGAGGTGTTTGAAGAAGAGCCAAGTTTGAGCTAGAATATGAATCAATTGGGCACTGCCACAATTGAAATTTGTATCTGATGAGGGCAGTGTTAAACTTCTTAGGCGGCTTCAACGTCCCGTAGTTCCGTGTGATTGCCATGTATAGACTATAGACGGATCGTGGGAGGTCTATCATAGAAGGGAGATCTATAGAGATCTTTGAAGGAGAGCCAAGTTTGAGCTAGAATATGAAACAATTGTGCACTGCCACAATTGAAATTTGTATCTGATGAGGGCGGTAATAAACTTCTTAAGCGGCTTCAGCGTCCGAACAGAGATAATTGTTGTCCATACATGTCTACCCAGTATGAGTTTGTTTATATCCTTGCTGTCGTCAAGCCCCCTGTCCCTCCGAAGGATGTCCATATATGTAAGGTGTGGGTTCCCCTTCGACGATGTCCTTGAAGGGGTTCCCATAAGAGAAGTTCATGACTCAGAAGTTCTTCATGTATGACTAGATGACCTGCAAGTCTCATCCTCCGTTCAGCTATCTTATCAGATGCTCTGATGATATGTCCACTGTCCTTATACATTATATCATTTCCATTTCAATTTTATTACTAAACTTTGAACTTATTTTCGATTTTTCATGTTTTGAGTACGCTTTGACTTTAAAAGTTGATCAGTACGATTAGTAAGTTTTTCGTATAAAATTGCTGACGGGTGTAGGCAGAGAAATTAGTATGCGACTGATTTAAACAGTTGGTTTAAATCGACAGAGTTCAGTTCACCGAAGTTCTAATCAATCTTACTACAGGGTGGTCCAGAAGTAACTGCCCGCATGCAACACTTTTATATTTATAACTCACGTAATTCTTCTTAGAGTTGCACAGAAATTTCAGAGATTATAGATATGGGTCAAACTTAGATTTCCTGAAAGTTTCGTCAAATTTAATTAATTACAGTGGGTTTGGCACGCCACTCCCTCTTTTTCGCTATTGTCACCATAAAGTGAGAGCGCATCAGCTAGAAACTTCAAAGTTTCTAGACACATTTGGTATGATAATCGAAGTGCTTTCCCACCATTTCAAGTTGGTTGTTTACAATTTAACCGAGTTATGATCCTTTTAACTTTAAGATATTGCAGATACATCGGGAGCTTATATTCGCTAGCCAGCAACAATGAGCCTCATTAGGCGGTAACGAGCATGTTGGTGGATGACGATCTGATCACTTAGAGTGAATACTGATAGTGACGTTCCTTTAAACCGAAGAAATTCGCGTTATAGCGCTTCGGTTGCTGTCCTATAAGCAGTCTCCAACCAATCAGGGCAAGATCTTAAAAGGGTCATCAGTGATGACCCTTTTAAGATCTTGCCCTGATTGGTCTCATCACTCGGTTATAACATATAATAAATTGTGAACAAACAACTTGAAATTTTGGGAAAGCACTTCAATTATCAAACCAAATGTGTCTAAAAACTTTGAAGTTTCTACCTGAAAGCGTTCTCATTTTATGATGACAATAGCGAAAAAAAGGGAGTGGCGTGCTACATCCACTAAATTTGACGAAACTTTCAGGAAATCTAAGTTCGACCGAAATCTATAATCTTTAAAATTTCTGTGCAATTGAAAGAAGAATTACGTGAGTTATTAATGGGTTGCTTGTGGGCAGTTACTTCTGGGCCACCCTGTCCATTGCTTTAGTTGATGCCATGGACATTTCTTAACCATACACAGTTTGCAATCCATTTATAGTGTTTAATCGAATTTACAATGTAAAGTCGGCTCAAATTTGTAATCATTTAAATCTATAAAATGAACTTTCTAGAATTAAAGCTCTGATAAGAAATTGTTAGTTGTAATAACTTGTTACGATCCTAGGATGATGAGGGCATTCCTACTGACGCTTGTTGTGACTTATGTCTTTGAAAGTTCTGCCCTAATGGCCGGCGTGGAGGTGCTAGTCGAGGATGAACAGAAGGCACAGGATGTCATGGAGAAGGAGGTTGCTGACCATGAGGGTGATGAGGAGAGAGATAACATCTTTCATTACATTGGTTTAGGAGTAAGTGAAATGATCAAAGGACAGAATAACGCAAATGATGAACATATGCGGTTTAGCAACACCACAGAAACAGGCTGGGATAGAGATACGAACGACGTGCTTGTAGCACTTCAAAAAGATGTCTGCGAACAGGGTGAACAATGCTCTGAATCTCCTTATATGGGCTGAAAATGTCACGGTCACTTCAACAAACTTGAAAAAGAAACTTGCAGGGGATTCCCATGTAAAGCTTTGAAGCACGTAACCTCCAATTCAGCACAGCTTCTGAGGGATTTCAGAGTACAAAAGGATCTTACTGGCCTTGTTAATGTTGTCATGAAATTCGCGGAACCACTCTTGAAGGAGGCTTGCCAGTGTAACCCTTCCCTCATTGACACTGGAATTGACTGTGTGGTGGACTACGACGGTGGAGAGGATTATAAGGAAATCATGGGAAGAATTAAGTTTGATTACTTGAAGACCTTTGCAGAAACTATGTTTGGAGCGTATTGCGGAGATGACAAAGGTGCCTGTCTGGGAAACTTCCAAAAGATTACCGGAGAGTTTGCAGCGATGATGCATAGGTCTTTCGACGATGAGCAAAAAAATAAATGCAACAACTTCAGACGACTCTCTAAAGGAATCTGGGAGATGATCGAATTTCTTACCGATTATTATGATATTGATAAAGAACCCTTTGTGAAACAGGTCTTGAAGAAAGTGTACATAAAAGTTTTCAAAAACTTCTGGTGCGGTTCGGGTGAATGCGCTGTTACCTGAGGACCCCAGGCTATTATGTTCATTAACATATATATATAAATATAGATTTGGCGGAATGACAGGCTGAGCGCGGCCCAGTAAATGCGCTGCTGGTCACCTTTCTGATCATTTCAACAACGACTGCTGCTTCAGAAACGCAGTAGAAAAGTTCGACAATGATACCGTCAAAGATTTGTGGAAATTCGCGCAAAGCGTGGTCAAAGTCATTGGAGGAGAACTACCCACGATCATTCAACCCCAATCTGGCTTGCAAGCGACGTTACAAAGGTGCAGACAAGTGTGATGTTATTGAAACTTTTCTTGTATCACGTCGTGACCCACATTGGCATTTCTCACCCCTGTACTCACCTGCCCTGTAGAGTTTCTACGCGATACAGGGGGAGCCGCGCACGAGTGCGCGGCGGGTCATAGTATGACTCATTTACAACGTATGACAAAGCTTTTCTACAGTAAAAAGGGTACCAGTATCACATATTCGTTAAGAGGTAATATAGACATTAATCTAGTGAGAACATCTATTTCCGTTCTTTTTAAAATGTAAAAATGTGAATGTAAGTCAATTTGTTTCGTCAAAATTTGTTTATCTGTTATCGCATAGTAATTATATTTATAACGGTATTGGTTTGATTTGTTCAATTATAGTGGTTGTTCGTATATTACGTAATTTTGCGGAGGATACCCATAAATAAAATATTCATACACTTAATTCGGTCAGATCTTCACAATTTTGGGTTTTGCTGACTTGTGAGTAGAAATAACACAAGCATATTATAAAAGTCATTCTTATACTTTAAAAAACAGTGCATAGAATTATATATTAGTAAGGGCCGTTTGCTCAAATTTAAGCCTCACATCAATAATAAATTTAATAAATTTATTATTGACGATCCCTATGTCCATTTATCCGTATGTGCATGGGTGCAACTGTCTGGCCAAAGTATGAGTCCTCTTTAAAGATACTGTTCCAGGCTACACAAATCTGACATTGAGCCAAATAAATAAAACTCCTATCCTTACAATTTAGCCTAACATCTAAATTAACTATCTGCTCATTAACAATGATAACATCTGTAGGATCAAATAACAAAGGACAGGTCAAACACCCTTTAGCCTCACATCTCTGCGTTTTCGGTCGTACCTAGTCCTGATCGCTTGATGAAGAGCTTTCACTATAGCGACGGTTCATAAGGCAACGTTTCTTGATGACCGTGTTGGAGATCGCCGTATTCCTTCTCAAGGCGAAGGTGACCCTGACATCACCACAGAGGTGTCTACTGTCATCCTTTAGGACACCCACCAAAGTTTTTAGCTGATCTACTTTCTTAAAAAATTTCAACGAGTAGATCAGCTTCCTGATGTTTTCTTGAGAGGGTGTCCGAGGGGTTCCCAAATGTTAAAATGATTACGCTACTATAATTTTAGAACAATAGTTATGTGTAAAACTGATTACGTAATATGTGAACGACTCCTATGAGTATGTAAACACTGATCGATTTCGATTAGTGGTGCAGATCTACAGTAAACATGAAACGACGGTATGTCTTGGATTATTAAAAGAAAAAACTTCTCGACATCAGTGTAACGGGTGGTGCCCACGTCGAAAGTGAGGAATCTTAACATGATATAATAACATGAATATTTACATAAATTACAGTTTCACGAATAGTGTCGTAAAATTAAAATCGTGTCTATGATTTCCCAAGAAAAAAACCATCGCTCAAAACCGGGACATCAAACATAAAAACATGTGACATCAACTTAGTCGAATCTTAATTCTGCCAAAAAAGGTTTCATTCCGTAATGTTGCATTGTTTATTTGATAGTAATAGTAGTGCTTTATTCAACAACACAAAGACGACAGTTTGAACACTGGAAAATAAATAATCCCGTAATCTCTCTTCTGAAAAGTCTTGAATCCCGCCGTTTTCTGCATATATCCAGCACAGCCCAGGGGAGGATAAAAACAAGTACACGAGTGTGTGACACGTGATTTGAGGGAAGCTAGTTAGGTGCTGCTACCAGACCCGCTGGACCCTGACCCAGTGGCTGTCCTCCCACTGTGCTCTCTAGTGGCCTGAATCCTAGCTCTTCTGTAGGAATACCGAACTGATTCAGCTTAGCTTCATAAGTCCTCATTAAATCGTTGTGGGCCTGAAAATGTTGCAGCTGATCACAAGGAGTTAACAATTACGTGATTCCTATAATATTTGTAAGTTGAAATCGAATAATACGTATAGATAAATATAATGAAAATTAACTTAACCGATCTTCTGAAAATATGCATCATGTGATAAAAAGCTGTACTAACCTTGCAGACTCGTGCTAGCTCGTACTGCAGGTCCTTGATGGCGCTGTTCTTGCTATCCAGAACGTCTTCGAGCTTTCTGGTCACAACTGTCAGTGCTGTAGCATCTAGATTACTGGCCGACAACACCTGAAAATAAGTAATGGATCAATAACCAGGATTATTAGCAGGCATTGAGAGAACCCCTATTAATTTTAATGAAATTGAATGACGTTTGTTAAAATCATGTCTCGAATAAGTTTTTCATTCAAAAGCTCAGAGTTAATGTGTACCTCATTGAGCTGAGCTTCTTTCTTTTCAAGAACGTCAGCGAGAGCAAGCAATTTCTTCTCAAGAAGAAGGTTCTTGAAACCGGCTTTCTGTTGCACTTCATGTATCGAGCTAACGAACTTGTTGTATAAATCGTCACGCTCTTGCTGAACCTGGGAAACAAAGAATTCGAATTAGGTGACAAATTGTTGAATGTGGACAAACCAAACGAAGTTTTACGATATTGGAATTAATTAATAGTATTAATTATTGACCTGTTTGAAGCGTTGTTCGAGAACTTCGTGCTCCCAGTGCAGAGCTTTTAGATCTTGTTCTTGCACCTTCAGTCTGGCTTTAGCACTCTGGAAAACGCAAAATTTATTGTCATTACTTAAATGGCATAATAATAAATGAAAAATATGATTCTATGAGGATGGGCACGAGAACAACAACACAGTTTTTCTGCTTTTCGTTTAAACGAAGTAGGCAAGAGATCCCGCCATGAATTCACGATATGAAAACTCATTTTTCGTAATGTTTATCATACCTGTAAACTCTGCTTATCTTTCTGGTAATTGGCAAGCTGTTTCTTCAGATCAGCCACTTCCGCCTTGGCTTTTTCGAGTGGTTCTTTGAGTCGCTTGTTGTCTGCTTGAATCTCTGACATTTGCTTTTCGTTACGCTCCTCCTTCTTTTTCATCTCCTCAACTTGTTCCTGGATGATATTTCAGGTTTCACTCACTGATTATAGCGGAAGTTTTCCAATCATGAGGAAATTTTACCGGATTAAGACGTTAACAGAGAGATTTTGAGAAAAGTGGAACCTTGAGAGAGTTGATGAGGGCGAGATTGTTCAGAGTTATGTCGTTGTAGTAATTCTTTATGTCGCTGAATGCCTTCTCGTGATTCTTCATCAGAGTGTTGATTTGGCCGTTCTTGCGCTGAAGTTATTTGAGAATTTTAGTCGATATAACGAGAAAAATACATTATTAATTTAACTGACTCATATCCAATAGACGTGCAAATATTTTGTTTCTAGTCCGAAGGCACGAGACGTAATTAAAACCGACAATCACTAACCTCCTCAATCTCATGTATCTCAGTCTTTCTCCTCAGTTCCAGTTCTTCCCTCAGAACCTTCATCTTCTTTTCGTATTTGGCCTGGAGTTCCTTGGCATGTCGCTCACTATCTTGCCTCAGTGCTGTTATTGCTTCATCGTGTTGCTGAAATAAGGTATTCACATTTCACAGTAAATATTTTATCGCAATCATGAAAATAAACATCACTTTCAGCAATTGAAATGATAGCACTATTTCAAGTACAGGCACTGGAATTTAAATAATGTTTAAGGTTCGATATCTACCTTCTTGAGATTCTTTATAACATCTTCGTGGCTTAGCTCCAATTCCTTCAACTGGATCTTCAAACTTCTTTTATCTTTTCGTAGGTCAGATTCTTTTCCTCTGTGCTCATCTTGCTCCAATTTGAGTGTGAGGGTACCTAGAAAACGCTAGTTAGCCCAACGCAATGCAGGGGAGAACGAAAAGTTTTTATTTTGGCAATGATGATATTCATAATGTATAACCTGTAATACTATTCTGTATACATCTAATAACGTTTTCCAAAAAAGGGGGAACGAAAAAGCAGCTTTTGTGCTGTGTGTGCATGAATGACATCGATTAGGAGATGAAATAGAAAAGGCTGATGGGGATTGGTAGGGAAGTGATAAATATCGATCCGGAAATCTGACAGCAATTAACCGATCATTCTCCAGTAGCGATTAATACCGATCAAGTCTTCGAATCAACATGACTCTCAACATGACGCGTCGAAATAAATGATTAATGAGGATAACCTTTTTATCAACTAAGAATAATACTGTATAGAAAACTTACTATCTGCTTTAAGTTCTGTGATATTATTCTGGTGTTCGTAGAGGAGATGCTTTACTTTCTGCTTGTAAACCTGCGAGAAAAATATTACAATTATTATCACAAGTGACAAGTACAAACTCAATGTCCGATTATACACTATACAGTGAATAGTTCAGAAAGATGTGCATGAAAACACCAATAGAAAAGCACCTGATGTAGGGTCAAATGGATGGTGAAAACTAAAATAGTTCAGGACGCCAAATAAAAAACAAATCTGATGTGTTGTTGCCAAAACAACCATGCACATTACAAATCATATTACATTACATATTGCATGCGCGCGTTTGACGCCGCGCAAAAAAGTTTGGCTTGTTATGAAGATAAATTATTCGCGTTTGCTCAACAATAAATGCCGATGCGATGGATTATTTTGTGTAAAATTACTTCTAAACTGTTTTACACACTTTATTGTACGATAAGGACGTGTTTTGTAATCCTTTAAAATACAGGAAATTCTGGAACAAATGATCCAGTGGGTCCAATTTGTGGGTCTAATAATATACAATTTTTGGCTTGGAATGGTTTTGAAACATCACATATTAAAGACGTCAGACGTGTTTTGGATATGACACGAAAACTAATAACGATAGCTCTACCGACTGAGCAGTCAGCCCTAGGCTAACATTGATTGGCCCACCTGCACCCTGTAGCAGACACAATTTCATGGTGAGTATTTTTTGTTGCTTTTATTGTTTTTTCCCTAACTTAATTTAGAACTTAATGAGTTTCACTTGGTTTTAGGCAAGATTGTTCAGAATGTTGACCAATAAATTGAGATTATTGTTAAGTTTTGGTGATAATTTGAAATTTGAAAACCTATGTGAGGCTCGAACATGCTCGCCATAGCACAAGTATAAGATTTCTATATACTTGGGTTCAATGCTATTTTCATGACAATCTTTGGTCAATTTGTCATTAAATCCTATTGAAGCTCAGCAATTTAAAAGGGGGAAATTGCTGGGTGACAGATTATGAAATGAACTATCTCGGAACAGACATTTCAATACCTTGCCAAATTTCAAGATACCCTTCTTTATCAGGATGTTGCTTCAAACCAACCTTAATTTCTACTTGATGGCGTTCCTCCATATCTTCCATTTCACGGTCCTTGTTTCTGAGAAGAGCTTTTGACTCGTCGAGCTGGCGTTTGGTGATCTCCCAGAAAGTGTTGATCTTGTCACGCTCTAACTGGAAATAGTTTCTCTCCTCACGCTCTCGCTCCATCTCTGAAACAGGTTCACTTTTATAAACCAGCTACTTATCGAGGTCGGTTATTTGTTGTGTGTGTTGTCTAGTATTATACAGCAGGATGTTAGAATCATTGGCGTGTTCTTATGTTTATTTTCCATACTTGGTTAGATTTATGAAAGAGTAAGGGACTTATGTGTAATTACTAATTATTTTCGGTTAATTTTTTCTGAAATTATTCTTTAGACTAAAGTGCACATATAGCTTTTATAAAAGCTCTCTTTCTTCCCTAACTGACGCAATAAAATATAGTCGGGCGGACGCATCCCGGAATTCAGGGGGAGCAGCCGGAGGCTTCAAGTCAAATTGTCCAAATTTTTCTCTTTCGTCGTGATTATCGACGAAGTTTACCTGCTTTCGGACTTCGTTTTTAGACTGAACTGTAGTATAAAGGATTATCTCTCGAATGATCAAGACTGCACAGGAAACTTACCATCAGAAGTCAAGTAATGATCGTTTCTAAAAGCTTGGGTAAGCTAACACGCAAAATTGTCTAAGCACCAATAATTATGACACCCTGCTGTACAAATTTTCGTCCAAATCTTGTTTTATCAGAATTTAAACCAGTACTTACATTCGCCAATCATAAATTATTTTTAAATTCATTTATTGCTTGTTAGCAATTAGTATTTGTGCTTCTTAATTTATTATTATTTGTATGTGAGATTCTGTGATTAAATTTATTTTGTTGAGTATAATGTTGTGATTGCAGAATTTATTATATCTCAGTATTATGTACGTGATTTCCGAAATAAGGTGGAATTTTACGTTTCGTTTTTCCTGGTACTGATTCAAAATATCTAGCAAATGCATTCGCCACATTCTTATCGCCCTCAATTTGTTTCCCGTCAACGTCTTTTATAGTAGATGGTAAGGATTTTTTGTGTTTTGTTAGCTCAAGTGCCAAATTAATTCCATTCCATATTTTCTTAGAGTTATTTTTGAATCGCTCAAAATAATCTTTAAAATACCGTTTTTTGTTTTTAAGTTTTAAAGCGGTAGTCTGCCTGTTTAGAGTTTCATATACACTTCGATTTGTTTCAGTCGGAATTCTTAATGTTTCAGTCGGAATTCTAAATTTATCATTGTATGCCTTGTATTTTATTCTAGTTATTTCTAGCAGTTTGTTGCATATCCAAGGTTTATCAAGATGCTTTTTCATCCTACTACTAGGATTTTGTAATGGTGCATATTTGTCACATAGTTCTTGTATATAATTACTCAAGTTGTCAGCTGCTGTGTCATGGTTAGGTTCATTCTGGACTAGTGCATCCCAGTCGTATTCATTGGTAAAATCATAAACTAATTTATCGTTATCTATATTTTTCAGTATTCTTACCTTTCTAACATCATTATCAGTGTTTCGTCTACGGTTATGATACAGTGAGAATGTTGCTAGGTGATCAGAGTCGGGATAAAGAATATTTCCTGACGTACAGTCGTAAGAAAACAGATTGGTCATGATCTGATCTATGAGTGTTGCAGAACGTATTTGCAGTGAGTCTTTGTAGTACTGAATTCTTGTAGGCTTGAATATCATGATTTCGTAGTGATTAGCAATAATTGTGTTCAGAAAATATAACGAGTCGTTACAATGTGTGCTTTTCATGAGGCAGATGTTGAAGTCCCCTGATATTATCACGTCCGATTTTTTGAGGATTTTGTTCGAAAGATCATCACTAAATTTATCGATAAACGGGATAATATCAGTGGCTCTACAGTGTCAGTAGTACGAACCTATGAATAGTGGCTTATCTGGTTTGGCATTAATTTTAACATACAGCGAATCACAGGTAGTGTGAGTAAATAAGTGCATTGCAGTAGATAGCTGATAGTTCTTTCTTCACATACATCACGATTCCTCCGTATTTAATATTTGATCTAACATAGAACTTATCGTAATCGTTCATCACATGAATGTTTTGCATGTCATAGTTGTACAATTCGTCTTTCCTTATATGACATTCTACTAGTGTAATTACGTCAAATCGATAGTTAAGTTAAGTTAGGAAAAGAATATAAGTTTATCACAGTTACAGTCTATACCCCTAATATTAAAATATTAGGGGTATATATAAATTTATATTCAATCTTGCTATTAAATTTATCAGTTGAGTAGTACGAAACATTTTCAATACGGTTCTAATTGTATCTTGGAAAATGCAGACTTCCACTAAAGCGCTCATTTTCAGGGTTATCATAAGTACAGGATTCTTTATACAATTTGGTTAAGTTGTTAAATAGCTTATCTCCTAGCGCTCCTTTTTCATTTCCTGTCTCAGTCTCAATAACCGTTCATAATGGAACGCAATAATTTCACTGCAGATCCAGAGGGGTGTTCATGTAATAGTTTATGGATGAATACGGCCACTAAGCTGTTAATTCATTTATTGAAGTTTATTAATCAGAAAACCTTTTTAGAAAACCTGTTATTAATCAGAGAACCTGTTCATATATTAGATCCAATTACCTTGTTCTTATCTAACTAAGATTGTTCTTATCTAAATGAGAAATCATATATAATTTAGAAAAACGAATTTAGAAAAACGAATTTAGAAAAACGAATTTAGAAATATTAAACTCAAGTCAATTTTATTATCCCTAATTCTATGATAGTGTTGAGTTATCAGCTACTATCTATGAGAGATAATTTGTGCCTTAAAATGAAGACAGATTACTTCAGACTGGATAGATTGAGCTTAGTGCTTTTTCATGAAATGAGACGAATGTATGAATGAATGGATGAATGAATAAAAGCCAGTCCAAACCCTGGCATAGTTTTAATTTGTATTGAAAAGCTCTAATAAAGAGTCCACCAAATTATCTGTTTCCTTACAAAAATGGTGCTATCCAGACAACGCCGCAAGCGTGAAAAGAAATCAGAGACTGTATTGTTCTTCCATCAAAGATGACAATAGACAGCTTTGGGAAACTCTAATAGATAATGCGACCTATCCCCAGAATGTTGTAGTTATGTAAGGATGCAATAAATGGGATACAATGCAGTGCAACCGCGTGTAATTGGCAGTGTGAGAGTGTATTGTATCGGATGGTAGTAAGAGTCACGTGACTGACATATACTATTGTTCACGCGGTGTCAGGACGATCAAACCAAGATTCGCAATTTAGTGCCAGATGCAGTACTATTCAAATCTTATGATATCGCAGTTATTTCTTCACATTGTCAAATTACGTCGTACACCGTGCGAGCTGTTTGGTCGCAATTAATCTCGGAACACTCGTATAACTAAGGACTTCAAGATGATGCGTAACCTCCTACCACCCGGAGCCAGTACCAGGTACGCTCCCATACTATTTGAGAAGTACCTGGACGTCCCCAAAGTTAATGCTCTCTCCCAGTTCTTCTCGGACCACGTAGAAAAGGTGTACTGGATATGCGCAGCGTACGTTATCACAATCCACGCAGTAAAACACTTCATGAAGGACAAAGAAGCGCTGAAACTGAAGAATCTGCTGATAACGTGGAACGCGATCCTGGCTGTGTTCAGTATCTGGGGAACGTGCCGGGTATCACATCAACTGTTCACGGGGATCATGTCACGTGGTGTGGACGGCTACTTCCAGTGTGGCTACCGGGAGACGGATATCTTGGTGGGGTTCTGGAAACGACTCTTTGGTCTGAGCAAGATCATAGAGTTGGGGGACACCCTGTTCATAGTGTTTAGGAAATCTAAACTGTCCTTTTTACACTGGTATCACCATGTCACCGTGTTGCTATACTCTTACCCTGTTGCTGAATACTCCGCACGGACAGGCGCCATCACAAATGTGGGAAACTGGTTCTCCGGTGTGAACTTCGCAGTGCACTCCATCATGTACACCTACTACACAATGCGGGCGGCTGGTATCCACGTGTGGCGGCCCATTGCCATGTCCATTACCACCGTACAGATTCTACAAATGGTAGGTGGCATATTTGTGGGGTTCTACGTACCGTGGTGGAAATGTGGTAAGCCCCTTTCCTCCTTCGTCATGGTCTGCACAATTGCCATGTACACAAGCTACTTCCTTCTCTTTTGTAACTACTTCATCAGAGCTTATATTATGAAGAGCAAGAAGAAAGCTGAGAAGAAGAAAGAGTAAACGGGAGTGAAGAGGGAAAAGTGAGGATTGATAAGAGAGAGAAACCATTAATTTGAACCTTTTTAAATTTAAAGACCTTGTTGCTATTCACCTTATACATTGTGTGTACTTTTGAAAGAAATAGTTTCTTAGAATTTGCACTTATTATTCCTGAATTTCGGTGATCAGTTTTTTGGGGAAGTATTTTATCATAATTTGTTAGATACGAGAAGAATTCAACGAATGTAACTATGTAAATTGTTAAATGTTTCCAAAGATATGTTCCCTGTTTGATAGGGCTCGTACTATATTTAAGAGATTTGTTTCGAAGAACTTCTATAACTTGTTTTAAGAAAACATAGTGAGAGAACGCAAAACTTATCATAAAATATTTCACAAAAATAAAACAAACCTTCTCTAAGTCGGTGGATATGCTGCTCAAGCTGTTCCTTGCTCATTTCCTCCGTGCTTATACCATCAATGATAGCTGGCCCCTTCGCACTCTTCCTCTTCTTCCCCGACTTCTTCTTTTTCCCTTTCTTTGGTGCCATCTTCCTTTGCTACTAAGCCTATAAGTCTGCTTAAAGTTATAGGTTGCTTCAAGTCAAAATATATGCATCACTGACCGTGTTTTGGATGCTAAACTTTTAGTTTTTAATTTATGATGTTCAAAGAAAAAGCTATATTAGGTGCATTAAACATGAATAATAGTGTACATTTAGATTGTTAAAGTTTCGTCAAAGATTATAACCCATTCAACAATACTAGTTATTAAACATTAGACAATCTAGATTATGATAATTACTCTTTTTATCCTAGAATCGTTGTTTTTGAAAATGATCATCAATAGCCCTATGCTATGATCTATAAAATTGATGTCTCACAACATATGGCGGATGGTTGTTGATCTATTTAGCATAACTAACTGGACGAAAAAAATGGCAGTCACAATTAATTAAAGGACGAATGATCTAAAGATGCTTAATGCATCTAGCAAAAGTTTGTAAACCAAAGAAATAATCTTAGCTGTAAAAACTGGCTGAGCCTAAGCTATTTTCTTCAATTGGTATGCTATTTTTACCGAAATAAGCTATGTATTAGTACAATTTCTAACAGAATCATAGCATTTAGTCCATCATTAAACTGCACTGAAAGTTTCTCAATTTTCAACAAACGTTAAATAAATACGTTCCTAACATGAACACATCTACGCATTGGTCACAATTCATCTTAAATTTTCCGCTAAGTTCAATAACATTCGACCGATCATCAGTGGATATTTTGACAGAAGGCGTGTATTGCTCCCCACATGCTTCAGCAGAAAATGCTTCATCAAAAAATCCCATGTCATCTTTTAATCCTTTCAGCCCGAAAAACGAGAATATTTTCCCGTGTTTAAACTGTTGTATTTTACCGGTGATTTTGAACTTTCTATCAGTTTTTCTGTTGAAAACTTCTTCAAAATGGTAGCTATATCCGTAACCCACGTCATAACAATAAACTGCTGCAGCTTGGTTTCTTGTGCACGGCACCGACTTTTCAGAGTAGACTTCCCAACTGCAGTTCTCCTTCCAGTATGCGTACAAATCCCCCTTGTATTCGTTTGTTTCAATGTCATTCAAGCTATTAAAACATGATAACCCAGTATGGATGAACTCCGAAGCAGATTCAACTTTGTAGGTGGCTTTGTGGCCCCGATCATATGTGTACATTTGACATAGGGCCTGTGCTGTCCGGTCATTGAAACCGTCTGCACATATCGGATGATACGTGATGTTGTCACCATCGACTTCTTTGAACGCAACTGGGTAGGATCCGTCCTTCGTTGGCTCATCTATCAAACGGTACCCAGACGTAAAGAACCACGATTCGTACCAATCAATTTCTGCACTGGCAAGTGCCAAGAAAGTAAAAGACCAGAGGAACAGCATTTCCATCATCAACAGAGACAGCGACCCAAGATAAGATCGAATCATGAATTGATTTAGATAATGAGAAAGGACGTTAAAAGCTCATTTAAATATGTAGAGGATGGGGAGTTGTTTGTTTTCATAACTGACTATCAGAAAATTTAATGAACTCGCGTCGATATCAACAATTGACGCCAGAATTCATTACTTAGAAACACCGAGCGATCCCGAAAATGATATTAAAATAGCACTGAATGTGGTATAATATTTAAAGGGCAATCCCAAGCTTAATTTGTGCCTACTCTAATAATTTCTTTTACCATGAAATTTTAGCATCAATCGATTTAGATAATGAGAAAGGACGTTAAAAGCTCTTTTAAATATGTTGAGTATGGGGAGTTGTTTGTTTTCAAAAATGATGAACACATTAGCTCTGAAAGTGGAATAATATTTTGGGCGTGATCCTTGGCCGAATAAATTTTACTTTAGCTTAGGTCATAGTTTAAATACTTCAAAAGCCTGGAACAACTCCAAATGAAACAAGAACTAAAACCCCTGATCACTGATGTGTGACAGGGACATATGGAAAAGTATTTCTGACGAAGATGGACTTAGTTCCAACCTATTAGTATTAGTAGTAATAGCTGGGTGTGTTCGTCTAACATTTCTAATCGAGGGCCTTAAATGTGATGAGATGAAACGTTTATATCTGTCAATGTTAGTAGACAATAACTGCACCGTTGTTATTGTAAGGAATGATGTATTAGAAATTAACTTTTACAGTAGGAGAGGGTCGATGGGGATTGGACATATTTATATCACCCCAGACATGCACTCTCAATAGCTCAAATTGTTTTTGAGAAAGTATTGAAACTGTCTACCTTGACTAGTCAATATAATTATTTATTGATATCATATTCATTCTTATTACCATTAATAACTGATTGCACTAATACTAATCAAAACTCTTGACCAGGCGACGAAAAATATTAATTCCAAATCAATTGATGATTACTTAAAAATGTTAGTGATTAGTTTAATTTTTAGCCATTTAAGATAGTCGCTCAGTTTAATGAATAAGTCAGTTCACTGTATAGTAAATCCACAATTAACTGGGCTTAATCTTATGTAGAGGCAAAATAAACATTTATCTATTATATATACAAAGTAATAATGTGCTGGGCCCAGTAATCCAGAGTACAATAATGTGGGATAAAACGAGGTTTTACTGTAGTTTTAATGACTCAGAGTAACGCTTGTAACGTTCGAATGTTTCCAGTGAAAAAGAAATTGTGAACACGCTAAGCGTGTTAATGATGAATAAAACCACATCATGCAGGCGAAGGGACCTTTGCAAAATACAAGCAAAGCTTGTGAGTCACGTGCCGTCCGATTTAAGTTTGCACGATATTATTGCAAGAAATAGTGGCGTGCTCCTAGTTAGTTGTAAATCGATGTACCTATGAAGATACATACTTTAATATGATGTGTAAAAGTGAGTACGAAATAGTAAACGAAGAAACAGGCAGAGAGTACCATAAAATGCATTTAAATACTGTCATCATCATTATAATATCAACAGTTTCTCCAAAATTCCGAAGTGATATTACCAAAATTGACCATAACAGATTTTTCAAGGATTGGCACAAAAGTTCAAAACGTCTTGGCAAAGAATAAACGGCTAACTGAGGGTACAAAATTATTTAATTAAATTGCGAAGTTAAAATATCGAACTAAAAAGCTGGACAATAGATTGATGGCCAAGGACTGATTATTTATATTACTCTAATCAATACTTACGAAACATTCAGCCACAACCTGTAGCGATACTCTCAACGCGATTCTGCAGTTAAGAGTCTTAGCTTTAAGTTGTTCATAATCTGACGAGGTTGAATAAGGTTGTTATTCAACCGTTATCTATGATTAGCGCCACGATTAGGACAAGTGGAATTGAACCAGTTTCATCTCTAATATAACAACTCTAAATAACAAAAAACCTCCCTAAACAACAACAAAACCCTGATCTATCGGAATTCTTATGGGAAGATAAATGTGAGCTGATTTTCACTGTAAAGCGATGTTTCTGGTAAATCCTCATTTGTATAGGGAATTTAGCCCCTATTCGCCGGTCTATCGGAGCACGGTGAATCGGGGCTTTACTGTATACGATAGCTTACTAAAAATTAAATTAAAGAATCGACTTTTTTCTTTGTAGCTACAATTTTAGTGAACATATGAAAACATTTAAAATCGATGTTATTACTGGATAAGTCAAGCATATGGGCTTAAATCAACAACTGCGTTTAAATTATACAGACAAAACCTTATACAAGAAGGCGGGAAACTTTGATACACCAGTTTCTACACTAACGACGCGAGATATCTCGAATCGCTTGACAACGGCCTGTTCAAACTGCAATGATGAAGAAATTTATGATGGTTGCTATAGCAGCCAGTAATACTCCGCATACAATTACAGATGTACGATGCATATTGCGCGGCGTTTTTTGTTGTAAGGCTTGACGTTTTAAAGGTACATTTACACAATGCTTATGTTTTTGTTAGTAGTGTTATAGTGTTAGTAGTGACAGTGTTATAGGGTAGTTTAAGTTTTTTTTTTCTAATTAATGTGGTTTTAATTGATTAGTTTAAAAAAATTGTGTTTTACTTATTTAAAAAATTAGTTTATTTAAAAAATTAAATTTGAAATTTCAAAAACAAAATACGTAAAAATAAAATGGTTTAGTTTGAATTAAATAAAAAAATATAAGTTTAAGTGATTGAAATAACGAAAATAATAATGATTATTAGTATTATTGAATAAATAACATAAAAAGTCATTATATATTTTTGGGTATTGAATATGATATGCGCCGCGCGGTACTAGCAAGTTTGTAATTTTCATACAGATTATATATTAGGTCTTTAAAATCGAGCGCCGTTCCTTTAGAATCTTATGATTCTACTGATGTCGTTATTTGTGACGTTTTTCTCCCCTCGTCCTCTGATGGAACTCCAAGTTGTTTATGTTGCTAGTTTGTTATTCTAGTATTACTGGCACAAAATAGATTTCATGCCGTCCCACCCTTATCCTGGCTGTACTAATTGGGGGTGTACCGAACAATTTAATGACCTATCTCTATGCGCACCAGTGATCGATTCTCCCTGCAAACTTCTGGTGGGTGGGTGGGGGGTGGGGGGGGGGGGGGGGGGGGGGGTGTGGGAAAGATACGAATTCAACTGATAGATTCGTGCGATGGTCTGGCATAGTATGCACAACACAACAGACGACAGACTGCAGAATCATGGAGGGGGGGGGGGGGGGGTGACATGTCTCCAATGTCTCCCGCACCTTATCTTTTCGAAAAAGACAAAGACATTGGAGACATTGGAGACATTGGAGACATTGTAGACACAGCTTTTGGAGACATTGGAGACATTTGGGACATTGGGGACATTGGGGACATTAGAGACACAGCTTTTGGAGACATTGGAGACATTGGGGACATTGGGGACATTGGGGACATTGGAGACATTGGGGACATTAGGGACATCAAATGGATATTAGGGGCATTGGAGACATTGGAGACACAGCTTTTGGAGACTCCTCCTCCTCCTCCTCCTCCTCCTCCTCCTCCTCCTCCTCCTCCTCCTCCTCCTCCTCCTCCTCAGCTCCTCCTCCTCCTCCTCCTCCTCCTCCTGAGTCCTCCTCCTGAGTCCTCCTCCTGGAACCTGTGTCCTCATGGGTCCTCCTCCTGGGTCCTCCTCCGGACCTCCTCTTCATCCTCCTCCTCTTCCTCCTCAATCATCAGTTCTCCTCCTCATCCTTCTCGTCAGTCCTCCTCCTCCTCCTCAGTCCTCCCCAAGTCCCCCTCCTCGTCAGTCCTCCCCCAGTCCCCCTCCTCCTCCTATTCAGTCCTCCTCCTTCTCCTCCTCAGTTCTCCTCAGTCCTCCTCCTTCTCAGTCCTCTTCCTGAGTCCTCTTCCTGAGTCCTCCTCCTCTTCCTGAGTCCTCCTCCTCCTAGGTCCTCCTCCTTCTCCTCCTCCTAGGTCCTCCTCAGTCCTTCTCCTCCTCCTCCTGCTCCTCCCTCTCAGTCATCCTCCTCAGTCATCCTCCTCAGCCATCCTCCTCAGCCATCCTCCTCAGTACTCCTCAGTCCTCCTCCTCAGTCCTCATCGTCCTCCTCAATCCTCCTCATCCTTCTCCTTATTCCTCCTCCTCCTCCTCAGTCCTCCCTCCTATTCACTCCTCCTCCTCCTCCTCAGTTTTCCTGAGTCCTCCTCCTGAGTCCTCCTCCTCCTCCTGAGTCCTCCTCCTCCTAGGTCCTCCTCCTTCTCCTCCTCAGTCCTTCTCCTCCTCCTCCTCCTCCTCAGTCCTCCTCCTCCTCCCTCTCAGTCATCCTCCTCAGCCATCCTCCTCAGTCCTCCTCCTCCTCCTCAGTCCTCATCCTCATCCTCCTCTTCAGTCCTCCTCCTCCTGGGTCCTCTTCCTCCTCTTCATCCTCCTCTTCCTCCTCAGTCCTCAGTCCTCCTCCTCATCCTTCTCGTCATTCCTCCTCCCCTCAGTCCTCCTCCCTAGTCTTCCTCAGTCCTTTTCCTTTTCCTCCTCCTCCTCAGCCCTCCTCATCCTCCTCCTCCTCTTCTTCAGTCCTCATACTCCTTCTCCTCCTCAGTCCTTCTCCTCCTGCTCCTCCTCCTCAGTCATCCTCTTCAGTACTCCTCAGTCCTCCTCCTTCTCAGTCCTCCTCAGTCCTCTTCCTGAGTTCTCCTCCTCCTCCTTCTGGGTCCTCCTCCTCCTAGGTCCTCCTCCTTCTCCTCCTCAGTCCTACTCCTCCTCCTCAGTCCTCTTCCTCCTCCTCCTCCTCCTCCTCCCTCTCAGTCATCCTCCTCAGCCATCCTCCTCAGCCATCCTCCTCAGTCCTTTTCAGTCCTCACCCTCCTCCTTAGTCCTCCTCCTCCTGGGTCTTCCTCCTCTTCATCCTCCTCAGTCCTCAGTCCTCCTCCTCAGTCCTCCTCCTCATTCTTCTCGTCAGTCTTCTTCATCCTCAGTCCTCCCCCAGTCCCCCTCATCCTCCTCCTATTCAGTCCTCCTCCTCCTCAGTTCTCCTCAGTCCTCTTCCTTTTCAGTCCTCCTGAGTATTCCTCCTCCTCTTCCTCCTGAGTACTCCTCCTGGGTCCTCATCCTCCTAGGTCCTCCTCCTTCTCCTTCTCCTCAGTCCTTCTTCTCCTCCTCCTCCCTCTCAGTCATCCTCCTCAGTCATCCTCCTCAGCCATCCTCCTCAGTACTCCTCAGTCCTCCTCCTTCTCTGTCCTCCTCAGTCCTCTTCCTGAGTCCTCCTCCTGAGTCCTCCTCCTCCTCCTCCTCCTCCTGAGTCCTCCTCCTGGGTCCTCCTCCTCCTGGGTCCTCCTCCTCCTAGGTCCTCCTCCTCAGTCATCCTCCTCAGCCATCCTCCTCAGCCATCCTCCACAGCCATCCTCCTCAGCCATCCTCCTCAGCCATCCTCCTCAGTACTCCTGAGTCCTCCTCATTCTCAGTCCTCCTCAGTCCTCTTCCTGAGTCCTCCTCCTGAGTCCTCATCCTCCTCCTTCTCCTCCTGAGTTCTCCTCCTGGGCCATCCTCCTCCTAGATCCTCCTAGATCCTCCTCCTTCTCCAATCATACATCTACGTCTCCAGTGTCTCCAATGTCTCCAATGTCTCCAAAAGCTTTGTCTCCAATGTCTCCAATGTCCCCAATGTCTCCAATGTCTCCGATGTCTCCAAAAGCTGTGTCTCCAATGTCTCCAATGTCTCCAGGACATGTCTCTGCACCCTATCTTTTCAAAAAAGACAAAAGACATTGGAGACATGTCACCCCCCCCCCCATGGAAAAACCGCTTATGATAGAGAGCTCAGGATTAAAGTTTGAAGTTTTGTTCCTTATGGCTAACAGTCCATAAGGGTGCCCGATATTTCTATTTCAAATTTACTTTAGCTCTTGATAACGTTAGATTGTGATAGTTGAAATGATGTACATTGTGTAAACTATTTCGTGAAGTCGATGTTGTGTTTGGTTTGTGTGAGAGAGCACTTTGAAATTTGAAGCTGGATCCACACATTTAACATAAAACTTGTACTTCTTCGTTCAGTGTACATAGTTGAATGATCGACATTTATCTATGTAATCCATCCCTCTTTTCTTCTCAGCGTAGTTCAGGGAATATCCACATGTATAACAACGAGTTTGAGGAGGTCGAATATGAAGACGAGGAAGATGAGGTATGATTGCAAGTTTTTATGGTTTCTGTGGTTTCTAGGTATCCATCACTGAATTAGCTGCCATATACTTAAGTATTTCTCAATTGAATTCAGCAAATTTACATTATACCATTGCAACCAGACTTGACTGCTTGTAGTGCTTGCAGTTCTGCACACAGTGTAGTAGAATCCCTCTATTGTATTTACTAAACTTCAACTCTATTCAGGTATTTGCAGCTAAATGCAAGAGCATCCCCAAAACTCTGACACCCTATGGAAATCAGCGGACAATGAACATGAACTCGCTGGTGTTGAACAACATTCAGAACAGTAACTATTTCAAATATCAGCTCTATGAATTACATACCTACCACCAAGTCATCGAGGAGATAACCAGAAAGGTATGTGATTTAGTTCATTTTGTGTGATAGTGCTGTGGATTATATAAACTTAATTTCATAGAATTTCTTAATTTATCTGTATAGTTACACATATTATATAAACGAATGGTTCTTACACAATGCAATATACAACAAATGTAAGATATAAAAAAGGTCTCGAGAACCACGGAGATTTTAGAATCATTAGAGCCTGGTAGTCGTCATTGATAGAGCTACAATCTACATGAAGTCTTTCGAGAAAATTTGGTTGTATCTTTTGAGGATCTTTTATTTTTTGAGACAGCTACCAACAAAGTTCTTAGGCTGGCTGTTTTCAGATATTTTGAACTTTGATATTAATGCTCTTCATACAAAGTTACAACGAATTCTTCATGTTATGCATCCTGGGCCAGGATTCCTGGCCCCTGGGTTTGGACATGATATGACCCGTTTAAAATATTTCCATCACGTTACATTACATAATTCAGAAACATATTATATTTACAATAAATTATGCAATCACAACATTATAATCAACAAAATAATAATGGTTTATTTAAAGTCGTCATTCCGCAGTCGTTCATGCTTTATTCAAAATGTTTATTTGATGGTATACTGTAGATGCACTGTTGGCCCCTATTGTAATATTAACGTCCTGTACAATGCGTAATTCCTGTGTAATTGCTGTGTTATTCCTGTGTTATTCCTGTGTTATTCCTGTGTTATTCCTGTGTTATTTCTGTGTTATTCCTGTGTAAGTGATATTTCTGTGTAAGTGATATTCCTATTATCTCTGATTCCAGGAAAGGTCACTGAAAATCGAATTAAACATTTTGTATGACCTATTTTGACAAATTCATCTCAGAGCAGGACAATGATCAGTAATAATAATATGACAGTAATAATAATATGACAGTAATATCACTGTGCTACACTACTTCCTGTCCCTTTATGTGTCCTTTTATTAAATAAGATTATATCATTCAATTTATAAGCGATATTTACGGACCTTTACCTAGAAAGGTTATCTGTTCTGAAGATGAACTGTCAGCCACTCCCTGATTTAACGTAATGAGTGTAAAATATCAGTCAATTCTTGATTCAGCTTCCTTTTGTTGTGGTAGATTATTGATCATCGGAGCTTTTAATCCAGATTTTGTGTCTCTTATGTTTTACAGTACTTGCAGTAAACAACATTATCTTATAAACAGTGATTTACCTAGATTATTGATCAACCGGGGAAAATAATCACACACGATACAGTGAACTGACTAATACACTGTCTCGCGCATTAAACTGAGCTATTTGAACCTGCTAAATTATCGAATTATGACCTTTGATTTTGAATTGTCACGTCCCTGCTCGTTACCAGTTTTAATTAATTCAGGTTTAATTAACAGTATGTGTTACAGGTGAAACACCTGGAACCATGGGAGAAAGGGAGCAGGAAAACAGCCGGACAAACAGGCATGTGTGGAGGGGTGAGTTCTAATAATTGAGTTGTCAGCACTTTTTTCAATACCTTAAATTGTGTTATTCATCACAGTTCGCTCCTCACAATAGGTTGGAGGCAAGATTGCTAACTTTTAATTTGGGTGATCCTCGATCAAGAATTAGACTGCAAGTTAAACCCTTGAAGCGTCAAATAAAACATCCTCCAGGTCCGGGGAGTAGGAGCTGGCGGGGTGGTCTCCAGTGCGTACTGTCTCCTCTACAAACTCTTCGTCCTCAAGATAACTCGCAACCAAATCAACAGCATGATCAACCACAAACACTCATATGTGCGGGGACTGGCTTTTCTGTTTCTCAGGTGCGGACTTGAGGTATAGTATTGTTGTGCGTGTGTGTGACGTCACGTGTTTATTTCGTATGTGACGTCACGTCATGTTCCCCAATGTTGTGTCTTGGATGTACATCTTGTTTGTATGTAGTGGCTTAAAATAGTAATGATACCTGTATCCAAGTTCAGCAAGTTGTTGTTAAGTGTCAACATGTGTTGTGATCGAACCTCCGTCACTATGTAATTATTATGTTGTTATAAACGTCGTTACACCAAAGCCGAAAATAGTTATGATTCATTATAATATTTCAGACTTGAAAGCAAGTTTATTTACATATCAAACATTTATGAACCCCTCCGGGATACTGCTATAAAATAATGGTGGCGTTATTTTGATCAAACTCGCTGTTTTTTACCCCTTAGTTAATCCCTACACAGTTTTTATATTATCGCCCCTTATTACCCCAACCCGGTTCGGTTTGGGTGAATATTTACTACTATAGTGCACCGATTTAGAATCGGTGGTTTTTTAGAGATTCTCAGAAAGGTCAGTCGATCACAACACAGTGGGGCTCCATGCTGACATTTAGCAAAAAAGTCATGTCTCCAAAATCACTTTAAACTAGTTTAATCTAATAGCCAGGTTGTTTCTGAGCTCAGAACTTTTTGATTTTTGATTTTATCTCATTCCTGAGCATTAATATATTAATGGACCACTTTTATTCGATTGTACAGTCAAAAACACGTTAAGTGTTCCTATCGTAGGAATACTTTGCCAAGTGGAAATATTTTACCAAGTTGTTCTTTTATCCGGTGTCGTGCAAATACCAGTACATTTCTGACCTTCAAATGACATGCACCAGAATCTGGGTATAAGTACTTGATGATAGGTATATCATTAAAAAGCGTTGGTTTGAATTACCACAGAACGTAATACTACTAAGTATCATCCCATCCAGAAACATAGTTATAAATGAATTAGAAAACACTTATTTTACCAGATGTTTGATGTGTAACAAGCTCAGGATAGCGTCTGGCATTCTTCCAATCTCCCATATAATAGTATTGTTCAGGAATGTAAGATAGTGTCACGAGAGAACTATCCTATGTGTAATGTGAATTTTAAGACCATAAAAGCGTATCTCACAACACTCTGATGTTGTTAATATTGCAGTCATCCAAAAGAGGTCTTATGCATTACTAGTTTGGAATGATAATACTTAGTAGGCAATACTTAGCTTTAGTAGTTAGCAAAATGTATTACATGTACTATAATGTGACTATGACGTGGTGAGGCCTCTTAGTAAGGTTAGACACGTTGTATTTGCCACCATGATCATCAGTGATGATGTCCGGGGATGGTGATGAAAACTTGTCACGGGTTTATTATTATTTATTAGTTTAAATTTATATGCGAGCCCTAAACGAAGCAGCAAGGGGGGACCGTTGATAAGAAACTCTTCTTATCATAGTCCGTGATGAAACCAACTATTATAATACAGGGTTAGTATTAACACATTGGTTTATCATCACTAGCAGGAACCCGTCTAACCCTAAAGTGGTGTCAAGACTCAAGAGACTAAAATAATTAATATCTATTTAATTCGCGTTTTTGACACCACTTGGGGGTCCAAATTTTGGGTACTAAAATTCTTATTCCTTGGCCAATATTTTATTTTTTTATGCTGATTTGAAGGCCATAAAGGCATTTGACCCAGTCAAAAAAGTTTCAGTTGTATATCTTTTACGGTTTTTGCGGAAAGTGGCGTTAAAGTTGATGCCGTGGTGTCAGTAAAATGGCACGGATCCATCCATATATATCGTCTCGCTTTATATATAGTAAGATAGTGTATAATATGACATAATATATGTGCTCAGACATTTGTTGACACTTTTGAGTTTTGGTGTCACCTTGATTACGATAGTCAGGTGCTTTAGTTATACCTTATATAGTTTGGAAGCACTTCCTTGAATCTGCAGGGAAACATGTCTGCGTCACTGCTTGCAAGCATATCTGCTTTGAAGGTTACCTATTATTGCTTTTCATACAAAGTTACAACGAATTCTTCATGTAGTGCATCCTGGGTTTGGACAGGATATGCCCGCTCAATTAATGTAATAGATTTGTAGTGTTGAAATTAGTTTAAAACTATGATAATCGTGAGACAGGATCCATTTCTCATTTAAAGGCAAGCAGTTTGGATCATGGCTTTCGGGGGGATCTTGTATTTTAGTTTATCGTATATCAATTATTAAGTTCGACAGGCAATCGTTCCATTCCAGTCGAATATATGCGCGCTCAGCTCTAAAAGATTCTGTTACAACTTTCTATATACATACAACTTTTGATATAAATTGCAACTCTGTTGTTAAAGAAGTTCTGCCATAGTCGGACTCGTTAAACTACTACTACCTACTTCTCGTTAAAGACTAACGAGTAATGAAACATACTTAGTTATAACTTATTCCAGTGTATTTAATTTCGATTTTAGTAGTCAGAGGTGGGGTCATCCTCTAACAAATCAGCTTCGAGCATCGATCAACAACATTCTCCATTGAATGTCATGTGTCAAAGGCAGGGGAAGGCACCATCTTACCTTCCACTGTAACCCAAGTCTAAAGAATGAATGGAAATATTATTCGCGACAATAATATTTGGAATGTCACGACTCACGCTTGAAGATGAAATCATCAATAAAAGACACTGACTTTTGCTCCAGTTGCCAGGCTGTGTAAGTCTATGTAAGGCTCCAAATCAGAAACAGTTGTACAGCTCAGTACGCATTCCTACTCTATTTCATTGTTGTTATAATTATTATATAGTTATCATATTATACATTGGTATCAGCGTTGCTTCTAACGCGTGATAACGTAACCCCAATCAGCTACCACCACGTTATTCAATCAAAAGCCAGGGTCACCATCACGTGTCAAAACAAGTATGGTTCACCTCTCCACCGAGTATATCCAGATATATAGTAGTGCCTGCAAGTGATGACAGCTAATTTATTCCAGTTATCTTAGTAATGTTGGGAATGTTTGTAAAGTTGCGAATGTTTGTAATGTTGCGTTTCGTTCGTTCATTTGTGTTGGACATTTGTAGTACTTAAATACCGTTAAGTTTTTTGTCACGTGATTGTACACATTTTTATCTCCCTCAGGTATACGCAACATCCGAGTACCTTCTGGGACTGGCTTGACCCGTATTTAGATGATGAAGAGGTATGTGTGAGCGGTGAGTACACATATAATTAGTTAATTAATTAATTAGTTAAGTTGTTTTAATAGACTTATTTAGACTTATTTAATTAGACTTCAAATTATCTATTGAATTAAGGCAGAATTATGTATATTTAACTTATAATGTAATAATCTTTACATGTAAATCCAGACAATTCATGCCTCATTATGAAATGTTCTAGAACTAGACTGTAGATCTCCTCAATTAAATTGTTCAAAATGAATGTAGATATTGTAGTATAAATTTAGAAAATGCTACTCACATCCCAGAAGAACGGGAAATAATAATAATAAATTGAAGTTTAAGAACACCACTATTAAGATAAACTTATACTCAGCAGTGTTTAATCTAGTCATCCCAGAAACTATCATGATAAAAGTTAGGACTGCTATCAAATACTTGAAAATATATCGTTCATATGAGTGAAACTTAAAACTAAAGAACTAACACTAAATATATGCCAAAATCAGTCATTGATAAAGTTTTTCAAGTTCATGCTGAGACAGTTTAAATAAAAAAGTTTTTAGAAATGCTTTAAAAGATTCCAGGGATTCAGCTGATGTGATGGTAGTAGGCAGACGGTTGTAGATCTTTGGAGCCACGACTGAGAAGCTTCGCTCGCCAAACTTAGAGTTGAACGATGGAACCATAAGTTTCAATGTGTGACCATGATGAGTGTACCGAAACATGTCTTGAATATACGTTGGAGCGAGCCCTAATAATGATTTGTGAGACAACAGTAATATTTTGAATACAATCCTTTTCTTTACATCCAGCCAGTGAAGATTAGTCAGGTCGTCTTCCAGGTGGTCATGCTTATATTTACCAGTAACGGCTTTTGCAGCAGCATTCTGTAGTAACTGAAGCTGATGTAAAAGCTTCTCGTCAATACCAAAATATAAACCGTTACAATAATCTAGACATGATACCACTAGACTGTTGACGATGACTTTAATCTGTTTGAGATTCAAAAGGAAGCGGATTTTCCTGATATTGCGCAAGGTATGAAAGCATTTCTTCTTGAGATTTATAATTTGTTTATCAAAAACTAGTTGATTGTCCATAACCAACCCTAGATTCTTAACGGTGGGGACAAACATAACTAATGTGTTAGGAGCAATTTCAACCCCATGAAGTTCAATCTCATTTAGTACCTTTCTAGGTCCAAAGACTATAAGCTGAGTTTTAGAGTCATTTAATTGCAGATAATATTGAGACATCCAATTCTTTATCCTCAAGAAACAATTTCTCAGTTGGTTTGTTAAGGTTTTCACCTGATCTGAGGGTTTGAAAGATTTCATAATTTGATGATCGTCTGCATAACCAATAATAGAAAACCCAGATTCTTTTACACAGCTGTACAATGATCTAATATAGATGTTGAAAAGTACAGGGCCTAGCACAGAGCCCTGAGGTACTCCAAAACGTAAAATTATGGTTTCAGAGACTGATTTACCAAGTCTGATACGCTGACAACGTCCTGTTAGGAAGCTGGTGAACCAACTCAGAGCTGACCCCCTTATTCCTATTTCTTGCCTCAAGATCTTCAGAAGTAAATTATGATCCACAGTATCAAAGGCTGCACTGAGGTCCAACAGCATAACAACAGTAGCTGTTTTTTCATCTGCAGCAATAAGGACATCATTAACGATTTTTATCAAGAGAGTTTCTGTGCTGTGGTGTTTCTTGTAGGCAAATTGTTCCTGACAATTCAGATTATTTCGACTAAGGTGCTCGTTAAGTCTTCTCAAAACTACTCTCTCAATTAATTTTCCCAGGAATGTAAGGTTGGAGACTGGTCTGTAGTTTTTCAATATATTCGGATCCTGAGACTCATCTTTCACTATACTAGGGGAATAACGTCAGCCAGTTTAACACCATCCATACTTCCTGATGACAGCGATTGGTTAACAAGATCAACCCAAACATGCAATAGGGAAGTGATATTATCCTTAACAAGATCTTGTGGTAAACAGTCATTAGGTGAACAATTGATTCCACTTTCCTTGATTATATCTTCAAGTTCTGAGATACAGGTTGGTTCAAATTCGAAGAGGGGTGTTACAGTAGTATCAGTGCAATCTGGTATAGAGGTAGCAGGTATGTTATCACGAATCTGTTCAACCTTTTCAGAGAAGAACTTGTTGAAGTCAGATGCAAGTAGTTCAATATTATCAGTGTAGTCAGGTAGAATTCTACTTTGTTTACGATCCATTACCTTATTGACAACTTGATAGAGAGTTCGAGTTTTATTCTCTGACTTATTGATAACAGTTTCCAAGAAATCTTTCTTTTTAGTCAAAGCTAGTGTAGTAGCCTCATGACAGAGTTCTTTGTAGTGCAGAAAGTGTCCCTCAGATCTATTTTTCTTTTTCTCGGCTCGACGACGAAGTTTTCTCAGATCTCTATATTCCTTATCAAACCATGGAGCTTTATCCACTACTGACACTCTTTTGCTAATTAATGGAGCATAAACATCAAGAAGGTTCACTATAGAGGCATCAAGACTCACTACAGAAGTCTCAAATGATTCTGAAACATCAAACTGATCAAGAACATCATTAAGGTCACGTGAAAAGGTATCCTTGTCTACAGCTTTAATATTTCTGAATTCAATTGATTTGAAATATTTCTTTCCTAAAGTGTTGCTTATGTTACAGATTATAGGAAAGTGATCTGAGCCTAGTGTATCGCTATTGTCAATAAACACATTATTGCAATGAAGATGGTTGTTCAGCGAGAAAGTAAATAACTGATCTAGACATGCACCACCAATGTGTGTTGGACGATCATACAGAGCATGAAGACCATATGATCTGAGTATCTTTAGAGTATCAGATGCAACCCTGTTGTTACCATCAAAGTGTATGTTGAGATCTCCGGCCAGGACAATATTATCACAGCGAGTAGAAATATCAGAGAGAAGAAGGTCAAGTTCCTGTGTAAAAGCAGAGGTTAAAGGGCCAGTCCTGTACATTACAACAAAAAGAATCTTATTAGAGCTGGTCTTAACTTTTCCCATTGTGAGTTCGAAATGTTTGAATACTATCCTACTCTTTTCCATAGAGCACGTTAAATTTGACCGAAAAATGAGTGCAGTGCCACCACCCCTCTCGTTAAGCCTATAATTATGGTGGAGTGAGTAACCTCGTTCCTTAATAATAGCAGTGGTTACTGATGAGTTGCTAGTCAGCCACGTCTCACAAACAGCAGCAATATCAATATTTTTGTCCTCCAAAAGGCTCACAAAAAGATCAGCTTTGTTGTTGATTGATCTAGGATTAAAGAGAAGGAGGTTGAAATCTGACGATTCATTGGATCTGATCATTTGCTTTGATAAAAAGGAATTGTCTTCTTTATTCTTTTCTGATGTTCCACAAATACAGAACATCTGGGGTCTCCAGTGTGATGATTAGTATCATTGTTTTTTGCTCTGACACAGTGACAACACTTGAAAACATGATCATCAGTCTTTTTTAAGCAATCTCGTGATTCATGATTTTCAGAGCAAAACCCACAAACTGGATCAGCTTTATTTTTACATTCTTTGCTGTAATGACCATACTCCTGGCAATTGAAACATCTAAGAACAAAGATACTGTCATAGACTTTACACATAGACTGGTATCCAATAAACACCTTGTTCCCTTGCTGAGCAATTATGGATCTAATAACATTGCTGACTTTTACAATAGCCTTAAAGATGTCTTTATTGTTTTTGAGAGGTTTAACAGCCAAGATTTCGATCATTTTATCATCATTAGAAGTAGAAGAACTATCGAGAAGCTTTGATATCCCAGGATTTTGTTTTTCAAGCATAGATTTTAGTTCCTCCACGGTATATTCTCTTGATAATCCTACAATGTGGACAGTTGGTACTCTTGTTGATACTTTTACAACAGAATGCTGCTCATCTTTGAGTTGTTTAGTCAGAACATCAACATCGTGTTGAGAATTGAGAACAATTCCAGTAGTATCAGATTTCTGCAAGTGGAAGGTACTACTTACTGAGAGGCCGTTCTCAATACAAATCTTTTCTAGTTTTTTTGAACTGATGAGTTTACCTTGACTGTCCTTTTGTACTGAAACCACTTTTTTCATGTTTTCTGTTCTCTGCTTATCATTCCAAGGATTATATTCGTTGTTAGACTCAGAGATTGATGAAGTTTGATGTGTAGCTGCACTCTTGTTTTGGGATATCATGGTTTTTAGCTCTTTTAACTCCAACAATAAAGAATTGTTGACTGCATCAATTTTGTGGTCCAAAAGAGTAAATTTATCTGATTTATTAGCAGCTTTTTTCTTTCCTTTGTTAACTTTACAAAAATCACACACAAATGTAAAGTTACCATGCCTTCTAGCAAACACACCATCTTTGTTAGAAGCCTTAATAAAGCTGTTAAAGAATGAAGATGGGCAGATTATGTCTTTACCATCTTTTTCAGTACCATCTTCCTTCACACAAACAGCATGAAATAATCTATCGCATTCCCAGCAAGGTAACGCTTTATCTCCTGCTTTACTATCCAAACACGATGAACACTGACCATTAGAAATGATAGCATAGTTCAACAGATCTGAAGAAACACTTTCCTGAGGTCGGGTAGTAACAATTTCCTGAGAGGTCTGTGAAGTTTCTGATACAGTCTCTAATTGGACGTCTGACGTTGGTCCCAACAAATGATTTTCACCACCTTTCATATCAGCGGGCTTTTCCAGTGTATATAAATTGTACTTGTATAGTACTTGTATAGTACCGTTAAAGGCACAGCACCAACAATGTGCAGTAGCAGGGGCAACTGGCAGTTAAAAATTGCCGATATAACAGAGATAAGGGAGCTCTGTTTTCAACACGTAACAAAACTGCAAAACTAATATATGTTGTACTCTTTCGCATATTTGCTTCTTCTGTTAGTGTTACATCTACATTCTACGTACAAAAATATGTACATTACAGTGATCACCAGCATGTTGAGAAGAAGAAGGAAATATATACCGTGTCCCTTTCTTTGTCTAACAGTGCCTCGTGGTTATTCTTATAACTCTCCACATTTAAGGCCTTTTCTTTGTAATGTTTCGCAATGACTACGATGTTTGTGAGACGAGACTATAAGTTGCACGAACCTGAATATGATCAGTATTATATTTGATTGGAACCCCACCTAAATCCTGTAATCTGATTGGCTCGAAATATACTGTCCTGCGATCTGATTGGCTCGAAATATACTGTCCTGCGATCTGATTGGTCACTATTGACACGTGCCAACTGTCAATAATTATCATCGCGTCTCCGACAATATCCACTACCACTTGCACGTACAAGATATTCTGTCAGATGATAGACATTCAGAGATAGCAGCTTATAATGTTTCATGTTGTATATGATAACCGGATATACCGTCTGCAGGAGATCGACCCGAGGGCTGGAGGTGGACGTCCTATTACAATCGGGGAGATGTGCGAACAGCTGCTCACCAGACTGGACTGGTACACCACTCTCTTTCCTAGGTCAGTAACGGGTACCATACAGTAGTACCCACATTTTATTGTATTTACAGCTGCAGCTTTGGATACATCTCGTACCTCTTATCTAATCTTATGATTCTCACCTGATGGTCCCTTATTCCTCTTCTAATTATAAAAGTATTATTAGATCATCTTAACCATATTTTGCATGACTTCAAGGAAAAATTGTTAAAATCTTATCTTGAAAGTTTTTTGGAGCTGGTCCAGTTTTCAGTCACGTGAGTATATTCAGTGATGCGGCTGTAAGATTTATAGTTCAATCTCTGCAGGATCCCGGTAGTTATCATGAAGGAGATAGAGAAAAAGATAGAAGACAGAAAGGCAGCTATCGCTGAAGAAAACCAGTACAACCAGCAGGCACCAGGTGAGCTGTAGTTTTATAATTGTTGACCATCGTTCTGCATCATTATCCTCTGCCACAGCACTTCGTGCCCGAGATTTCAACCGTCTTGTGCTGTGGTTATTATGTTAATTTACAAAATTTTGGTTTTTTTTGGGTTCAGATTTAATATGGTTTGGGAAAAGTTAGCGTTGCCCGTTGCAGAACTTGATTTGTTTAGTGGTAAACTAGCATAACATCTGAACCAATGAACTCTTGAGCTGAAGATAACAAAAATCAATCCTTAGATACTAGAGAAGGTCGTTATGAAGATCACCGGGAAGGATCCTACCGCAGAGAAGATGATAGCCGAGCCGGAGCCGTCCGTGGTGAAGACAATAGTAGAGCAGGATCTCTTCGACAAGAAGAAGGGCGCCGTGAGGGATCTAATCGCCCTGTAGAAGACCGCCGAGTGGAGTCTCTCCGGAGAGATGAACCTCGTAGTAGGGAGGCATCCAGAGATAGGCCAGACAGGGACAGAAGAGACGATCGATCTGATTCAAGAAGAGATGGTAGTTCTGATTTGAAAAGGGACGATAGGTCTGATTCAAGAAGAGACGACAGGTCTGACTCAAGAAGAGACGATAGGTCTGATTCAAGAAGAGATGGTAGTTCTGATTTGAAAAGGGATGATCGATCTGATGTAAGAAGGGACGATAGGTCTGATTTAAGAAGAGACGATAGATCTGATGTAAGAAGGGACGATAGGTCTGATTCAAGAAGAGACGATAGATCTGATGTAAGAAAAGATGATAGGTCTAACTCAAGGAGGGACGATAGATCTGATGTAAGAAGGGACGATAGATTCGATAAAGACAAGAGAGACGATAGAGACCGAAGAGACGACAGGAGGGAAGGTCGGAGAGATGACAGAGATCCTGTAAAGGACGATAGAGACCGTGATAGCAAACGGGAAGATCGGGATTACCAAACAAGAAAAACCGAAGAAAATAAGCCATCTGAAGAGTGAGTGTTGTTATTTTGTATGCTAAGTTCTGTCAGATTAATAGGAAACATCGTATTTAATCTATTCATGTCCTAATATACTGCAATTCATGATAAATTTTCCAAATTCTTAAGAAAACAGTTTAACTGTTTCACTGACATGATGGTTACGCCCCTGGCCTTTATTAATTTTAAGATTCGCATTTGGTTATAAATGTTTGCGTAATCATGTAACTACTAGTATATTAGTTAGTATAATCTAACTATTTGATGTTTCAGGCCAGCAGAGGAGGTAGAAGTCGCACCAAAGCGTTTAATCAAACGCTATGTGGTGGAGAAGAAGCCAAAGAAGAAGAAGAAAAAGAAGGGAGATGATGAAGCAGATTACAAACTTGATACGAGTGTAGCTGAGAACCCTGATGATGCTATACCGTCAAAAGACAAACAATCTACAGACAGCTCAGATCGTAAGAAAGAGCGTTCTAAAAGAAGTAAATCCAAAGAGGATCTTAAGAAAGACCGGATAAAGTCCTCAGAGAAACGGTCTAAAGATACCGCCAAAAGTAAAGATGATGTTAAATCTAGCCATTCAGATTCCAAACATAAGAAGTCAAGACACCGCAGTGATTCCGAGGACAATGTTAAAGAGTCCAAAAGACGGAGTCGTTCAAGAGACCGAAACAGGAAAGATGTTTCTAGAAGCAAGGATCGAGGAAAGAAGTCTCCGTCTAGGGATAGAAAAGAGCCGTCCAGTTCGCGAGACAAGTCCAAAGAAAGAAAGTCGGACAGAAGAAAACGGTCAACTTCTAGGTCAGGTAGTCGCAGTAAACGCAGGCGGTCTAAAAGTCTATCAAAATCAGAGGACAGAGATAAAAGTGAATCTAAAATAGACAGTGACCACCATCATTCGTCCGGTGTTAAACCCGAGTCCACCACAACAGAAATAGGCAAGTTGGACATAAATCGAGAACTCGACCACACTAAAACCCCAGAAACAGATCACTGTTCAACAACCACAGACCAAGCAACTGCTAGTACTAAACCAGATGAAACTCCCTCAACTTCCAACCCTGACCCATCTATCAGACATAACACAACTCCTGAAGCAAATAGAGGAGACGTGACTCCTGATGAAGAACAGGACAACCTTACCCCTAGACAGGATACCGGTGACGAAACTCCATCCAACGGAGATGATGTTAACCCTCAAGGAGGTGAAGTTAGCCCTGCACAAGGCGACATTTCCCCTCAAGCGGGCGAGATGAGTCCACTTATAGGGGATCCGACCCCTGAGCAGGACAGAGGTGACTTGACCCCTGAAGCAGATGATGATCCACTTCCCGTACCACCATTGATCCACGATGTGGAAATGTTAGGACGTCCAGAGACCCCACCCTACGATTAGATCATTACATCACGTGACATCACTTTTTAACCAGACTCACCGCGCGTCATGATGACACTGGAGTATTTTTATTGCAAGCTTATATATGATAGAGTCACGCAGTTTATTTTATTCATATGCAATAGCTGCGTATGGTTCATGCAAGGTCTGTGATGTATATTGCTGTTCGCGAAGATATTTTCTGTTGACGCGTTATGATTTGTTGGCTCGAAACACATCGAATACTAGTATATAAACATTAAACATTTTGCTAGAATGGCTGTTTAGATTCTTGTTTACTTTTTGTTAGACGATTGTAAACACATTTCCGGCTATTCTCTGATGTAAAATAATTCCATAAATCTGAGCTTCCAGGTGCTTTGAACGCAATATATATTATATATCTGTATTTACAAAGTATTCTTTAAGAGGCATCATGTAGCCGGTGGGCCCGACATGATACGACACATATCGACACGTCGGGGTTTTGTCGGGGTTTGTCAGGGTATGTCGGGGTCTGTCGGGGTTTGTCAGGGTTTGTCGGGATTGTCGGGGTCTGTCGGGGTTTGTCAGGGTCTGTCAGGGTTTGTCGGGGTTTGTCGGGGTTTGTCGGGATATGTCGGGGTTTGTCGGGGTTTGTCGGGGTTTGTCGGGGTCTGTCGGGGTTTGTCAGGGTTTGTCGGGATATGTCAGGGTTTGTCAGGGTTTGTCGGGATATGTCGGGGTTTGTCAGGGTTTGTCGGGGTTTGTCGGGGTTTGTCAGGGTTTGTCGGGATATGTCAGGGTTTGTCGGGGTTTGTCGGGGTCTGTTGGGGTTTGTCAGGGTTTGTCGGGGTCTGTCGGGGTTTGTTGAAGGATATGTCGGGGTTTGTCGGGGTTTGTCGGGGTTTGTCGAGCCTGGAGGCTACATGATGCCTTTTAAGGTGAAGTTAGTGAACTGAAGGAGGTAAACGATGGAGCACCACATTTCAATAATATCTAAGATGATATTTTTTATAAAAGGTTATCGAACTGTAATCGTTGATTGGGTATTATATGATGAAATGAAAGTTTTAATCCGCTCAGGGGACTGATTATTAAGTTTAACTCGCAGTAAATATGACATAGCGTTCTATCGTAATAATAGATTATTTAAACGCCAAATTTGAAACAAAAAGTGTAATTTCAAATCTAAGTCTTGATAACCACAGCCGACCACGGTACAAATTAAATTATTTCATTCATGCTGTACATTTTGTTTGAAGTTTCCCCGTTCATAAAATAACCTTTACCCAGTAATGTACCGTGATGTTTAAGTAGACCTCTGATTGTGTCATGAGCGAACGTGGATGCAGCAGCAGGAGTTACTACGACAACTTCGATAATTACGAATCAAGAAGGTAAAATGTTTTTATTGCGAAGTAATACTAAGCGGAAACTTGTTTATAACATTATTACAGACTATTGAAGACGTGATTCTATGCTGTTATTTGTTAAATTTTAAAGAATCAAGCTAAAAGGGATAAAACTGGAATATTTGACCATTTTATAAATCTGAGCTTATCTTATCTTATCTTATCTTATGAGGATTCGTTGCGACGCAACAAGGCCATCGAATGAGTCGACCACCTTTGTTATTTTACTTCGGCATTACCTGCATTACAATGTAAACCAGCACTTTCAAGGAAGAGCTTTACAAGAAGCCGAAGGATCGTTCCTAAGGCCAGCAACGGTTAAGGCACTATGCCACACTTTCTTCGCCCGAGGCTTCGCTGTGTTGATCAAGCACAGCTCCTCATTTAACCCTCACACCCGATTTTTCGAGCATTCGGCTGAGTGAACCGTGGGGCTACATAGACCACTCGGGATCCTTAGCAGAGCGTCAACGACGCTCACCCCACGACTAGGCAGGCAGTGGGATTCGAACTCGCAATCTTACGATTACAAATCCGATGATCAACCAACTACGCTACCTGGCCGTTTTTTTATTAAAACTTAACCGAAAGTGAAAGTGAAACTAACCCCACTTGTGTTTCAGGTCGTGTTACGATAACATGATAGTGAGTGATACAGAAGATAACAACAGTGATAACAACAGCGAGGTTATAACCGATGACGATCGCAGTGTAGACCAGGTAACATCTCTTTTATCTATTGTTTTCTCTTTTGTTTGCTGGTCGTTATTTGTTAGTGAATCTGTGTTTATTCTCCGCGCATTGTGTTCACACGTGTAAAGAAGTTTTGTGACCCTGCATTAGTCACACTAGATGTCCCTTAATTACGCTTATTTTGTAAATGTTTGAAAATTTTTCTCGTGTCTAATCTGAACCACGTCGCAGGTATGCAGGTGTTGCGGTGCTGAACTCAGAGGGGCAAATAGTTTGAATTCCTTGCAAAACAGCGTCCTCTACGATTACTTTCCCAACACTAAGCTCTCTGCTAACTGGGACGAGGTAATTGTAAATAGTGGAGTTTTTAAAATTTAGGGCATGAGCGCCCATTATTATTCCTGTCCCGAGTAAATAAAAAATCAGCCATATTCAATTAGTAATTGTATCGAAACCCTCGATGACTTATTTCTATCACTTCAAGTTATACGTTCTTCATTTGTCGTTGACGCTTCTTCTTTCAGAGTAATTTGGACTTGGTTGGACCCGAAGACTTACCACAGTATGGAAAATTCTTTCAGAAAAAGCTAGAAGAGCGGTTGACGCAGGTAAAAATCAACACCGCATATTTTCCTCGTTTTTCTGAGCTAAGAAAAGTTGGCTATATATTGCTATTTCATCACATCCAGCTTTTATACAACTTTTACAGGTAAGTTCGCATATTAAAGTGGAAAAAAGCCGAAAAGAAGCCAACGAAAAGCGGCTGGAAAACGCGCTGAAAGAAAACGAACTTCTGCGGGACCACTTGAGACGGTTACAGACCAGGATGCATACATTCCAGGACAGGATGAGGGTTGGAAACGGAACTTCTGTGTGAATGGGACCTTGTGAAATTGTTATTGGGGAAATTAATTTGTTACTGCGTTGATTAATTAATATTGGCAGAGGCACAGCTTTCTTTACATTACATTTTATTCGCTGTTTTTTGTACATACTCCGCTCAAATGAATTGACAGATTGCCATGTTTTGAATTTATATCGTTGATATTGAATATAAGTCATCAAATGTTTTCCTATATTATCGACAGCAGTGTCCCCTCAATAAAGGTTACATTTCTTTAAATTCTTTAAAACAATATTTCAACATCATGTTTATAACCGCTGTTTTTCAACTCCATCGAAACGAAACGTTTTACAATAATTTCTAAATTTGAATGAAAACGTCAATGTTTCTAAAAGAGAATTCGGTCAAACTTTGTGAAGTTTACAATACTTTTGCATGCAGACTTTTTGAAAGCTTGGTAGTGTTTCGCAACCATTCGTTAATACTTTTCAATTTGAGGTTGTTTATTGAAAGATTTTAAAAAAAAAGCTCCGATACTTTAACAACTTAAAAAACCTCATTTCTGCTGTGAAATATTTCTTACTTTTGTTATACTTTAAGACGTAAGTACAAAGATGAAATTACGCAGGGATTGTTCGCATAGAAAGTAAGCAAGATTACAGACCATCTGTTATCAATCCTAATCATAGCCATGTGCTCAATTCTACTTCCTACTTGTATCTGCAATTGTGTGGACATTTAACTAGTGTAAGATTTCCGAATCCTAATATGTGAACGATCCCTTGAAATGTGGGACAATTATAAAATGTTCAATCTGATAAGGCAGGATCATTAAAAATGTAAAAGATGGAAATATTTCGACTCGTACTCTGAATCTCGTATAAATTCCACCAACTTCCAGAACTTCATTATGTCCGTCCCCTTCAAAATTGATTTGGGTCGGATGAAGTTGTCTTTGAATTTGTTGACGAGTGAGGACTAATCTAAATTGTTCCATCGTGCCAAAAATATTTGCTTAACCGAATTAATATTTTATTCATTTGAAAGATAATACCGAAAATTTATGATTTCAATATTTCTATAAAGTTACCAAATAAATAAGTCTGATTTTTGCCTTAGTGATATTTACAAATTGCCATTCGGTACCAAATATTACTCTAAATGTGTAATATACCGCAAGCGCGAAATGAATAAGCTAGCGAAAGTTTTCATCTGCTGTTGCGCGGCTTTATTTTGAATCTAGCGATCGATCGATCGTTCAAAATTATTTTAGTTCGAAATTGAGAAAACATTTGTGATTTGTGATTTGACTTAACAAATGATCCGTCCTAAGAACTTATTGACCAATTAATTCGATCCATCATAAGCTTCTGTGTACTGTGTATCAATGTCCTTCAGTTCACACTGCTGTTTCATTCACGATTTTAAAAGTAGGTGGCATTTAGCATTTCGGTGAAGGGCACAGTTTAAGCTGACCAGTTGCCGTATCTTGTATCTATCAAATGTTAAAGCACAAAGGTAAATGTAAAATTATTCAATCGGGCATTTTGGCATCTATCCGGCTTGGCGAAATTGGAGTACTCAAATCATCTCTTTTTTGTCAAGATTAACAACACTACTTGAATGGAACCAAAAAATAGTTTTGAATCATCTGCTCTCTAGGTGCCAGCCTCACAGTTCTGTTAAACCCTGCCAAATAACATTGCGAGGTATAACAGAACTGGAGAGTGGGGGTCCCACTGACGCGGATCTTACCCAGCTGATCATGATCTCGGAGTGCAGTCAACGCCACCCCGGCCTAATACTAGAGCGTTTTTATAACCCAGTCCATCCCGATTACACCCAACCTTCCCCAGAATGGTATCTTGTACTTTTCTGGTTACTATTCTGTCCGGCGATTTCTATCCAAAGGGGTCCGTTCGCATTTCACAATGCACAAGCATGTTTCAGTGAAATATCAGATAGCAAGTATTACACGGAATTTATCAGCGTTTCCTGACCTGAAAATCGACCGGTGATAAATCTTCAATCTTCCTCTGCAACCTCTGAAACGCTGCCTGCCGGCTGGTCCTCTGTTTCTTGTTTCCCAACTAGCTCATTAAAAAAAATCATCCCCAGAACCTCAATCGTGACTTGTGCCATTAGCATTGGTCGCTGAACAAAAATTACGTCAAAATGGTTCAGGGAAACCACTAAACCAGGTCGTTTATATTTGACAATTTGATAGTTCATTTTAAAAATAGAACTAGAAGCTTTTCTCCCGTTTCTTTGACCGAAATTTTATAGTTTTGACTCAATTTTTGACCTGTGATCAATCAATTAGGTCAGTGTGAGTGACACAAGTCACCATCGTGGACCGTGGTACTGGAAGCTGATCAATATCCGGAGAAAACTTTGATGAAATAAGGAAAATTATGAAAATGTCCTACCGGTGGGAAATTTTCAGATAATTGCAGCTATCCGCATCATAAATTTCACTGCTTTAAGTTTAAGTTTAACTGAATTTTTGTTGAATGACCAAGCAATGAGTTCACTGTGAAGACATGATTATTATTATTGAAAGTTAAATTACTGGAGAAAGCTTTGATAAACGGGAAATCATGTCAGAATAGGAGAAGCCGAAGGGCCGTTCGACCTACGATGAGCGCTCCCAGTCCCACTAAATGAGTAAATCACTCGCCCAAATTTTAAGAAAATTCTTTTGGAAATGCCCTGAGGGACTGGGTATGAGAGTAATTTGATCATCCGGTGTATTTTCATTTTGGACGCTGATAGTGATTCCGAATCACCCCCATGACGTAGGGTAAAAATGCTTCCCTGGAGAGTTATGGGAAAAACTGTTTTGGTCACGTGACAGGCTAGTTAAACACGAATTCGATTGCTTAGGGCTCGGGTTAGGGTTAAGGTTGTGGTTAGGGGTATGGATAGCTAGTTCGGGGTTATGGTCAGGATTAGGGTTGGGACGGGACTAGGGTTAATATGACTGTGTAACTCTAATGGTACTGTTAGGACGGTTATACTTCAAACTAGAGTGCAGAATGTTCAGCTGGACAAAATACTGGTGGAAGTTATTTCGTAGGTCCTAATATAAAATGAGTGTGACTCTTCCAGATCCAGTCTTATCCTTAAAGTTAATAAACTGGACATAACTCACTAGCTGAAGTAGCTAGCTCTGATACTTGGGAATAGAACCTATGAGACTTGCCTCCAGCTCGCCATTTTTGAGATTCAAGCAAATTGAGGATGTTCAAAGGGTGCAGGGTGTTCAGCTGGACAAAATACCGGGGGAAATTATTTCGTAGGCCCTAAAATGACTCCTTCAGATCAAGTCTCAACCTTAAATTAAACATAACTCACTAGCTGAAGTAGCTGAATTTCGATCAAATTGACCGAATTTTTACAGTTTTCGCTGACATTTTTCTTTCTTTTTTGTATTGCTTTTGAGCAAGAGTGAATTTTGATTTAAATACAATAAAAATACATTTCTGTTAATGCTTGTCTTAAAATTTTCGAAAGTTCAATTGCATATGTACATTGCATATTGTATATAGTATCTAAATATAATATTTTAAAAACAGTGCATGAGTGTTAAATCCCTGCCAAATGTGTCAAATTGTCAAGAATTTCTATAAAAATGTCCATTTCAATTTACATAACAAGGGATTCTTCTTCCTCCTCTTCGAGTTGAACAATAACGTCTGAGTGTTTGTTGAACTTCTTACCGTCCACCTCGAACTCTACTGATACTCTGTAGGTTCCAGCTTCCTTGGCAGTGACTCCCTTGATGGTGAGTGATGTCTTGTCGTCGCTCACTACGTATTTGTCTCCGCTCAGTTCCTTGTTCGGTACCTTAACCCACGTGATCTTATCGGCTGCTGGTGTTGGTACAACGTTGATCTCAGTTTCAATGGTCACGTCTCCTCCCTCCTCTACTGTGTAGTACTTCTGGGCAGCTTCAACTGCACTGTACAGGATAACCTCCACAAGTTCACTGGTAGCAGTGCTGGGGATGTACAGAGCGTACACTCCCGCGTTCTGATCAGCGATATTCTTGATGTTCAGCAGCATTCTGTCGTCTGACAGCTCGATGTTACTGAGACTGTCGTCAGGCAGGGTAACCGAGTTTAACTTGGTCCACTCCACCTCGCTGGAATCGAAATCTTTCTCAGAGTTAAGAGTGCAGTTCACGACGGCCAGTTCTCCGTATTTAGCGTGGACTACTTTAGGTTCGCAGGAGGTCTTTCGGTTATAGACACAGTATGCCATGTCCTGTACAGAAGGGTTGAGCTGGTAAGTGTAGTAATCACCACAGTTCTTCACCCTGATATTCTCCGTCTGGGCACAGGCCTGATATACGCCCTCCTCGTCATCTTCCTTGATACAAACCTCTCTGGGGACAACTCCGTCTTCCTCGTGAGGATGAGCCTGGTTGAGGTAAGCAGGGTGCTTGGTACCGCAGGAGTACTGAGGACCGGGAGGTGACTCAGCCATCATCTGGAATCCAGTAGTGAATCTGTACCAATCCTTACCCTTCTGGTAGTCAGTGTGTAGGTCATCTTCATTCTCAGACACGTAGAACATGTTCCTCCACTCCTCTGCTAGAGGGTTAGCGTGCAGACACACATCAGTATCAATACTCCACACGTAGTTAGCGTTAGGAGTAGGTTGGAGCCAGTATGAGTAGTGCTCTCCGCAGTCCTTTACTCTGATCTTGATTTGGTGTGTAGTTCCGGCAAACCTAGCTGTCCTCTCCACCTCACCATCATCAGGTCCTGGTAGTTCACCCAGCATCCAGGATGGGTAGGCGGCACCTCCGTAAGCTGTATCAGGCTCGAACATGGGAAGAGTACCGTGCCCAATAGCAAGCCTGTACCAACCCTTCTTAACAGTCTGATCTGCAGCCTTGCTCTGTCCACTAATATAAGGGTTAACAACCAGTCTCCACCTATCAGCCAGCTCTCTGGTGTCCTTACAGTTGTCCTGGGCTACACAGAAACCATACTGCCACGATGGAGGCTTCTCCATCTGGTATAGGTAGTAGCTACCACAGTTCCGTACTCGGGCCCACTTACAGGACTGACCTTCGTTAGTCATAGACGTGGACCAACAGATATTGTAGTTGCGAACACCTTCCGCTCTGGTAGGATGAGTTCCTCTGAGATAACCAGGATAGTAGTGTCCACAGCTGTATATAGACATGGAGTATTCAGGCATTCTACCGAGGTAGTTTGTAAATCGAATCCAGTTTCCTGGGGTGAGCTGGGTATCGTCATGTCTATCGGCGTTATCGTATGCAACAGTTTCACCTCTCCAGTCATCATCAATCTCGTCGTAAGCGTTAGCGTTGCACATGGTAGTTGTGCTCTCCTCGACACAGTATTTCTCGTAGGTAGTAGTAGGGTAGAGTCTGTAGACGAAGTGAGTACCACAGTTCTTCACTAGCACATCTCTGGAGCTGGAGCAGCACTGGTCAGCATCTCCGAAACATACCTTCCTCTCAACAATACCTTCTCCGATATCAGGATGGGGTTGAGAGAGGTAACCTGGCTTTAGAGACCCACACGATTCAGCGATTGGGCATTTCTCAGGCATCTTCTCGAATCCGTTTGTGAACTTGTACCATCCTCGAGGTAAACTGCGGTCATCGGTTTGGGCGATCTTGCCCCAAGCGTTCACGAGACGGTGATCTTGGTCGAGTTCTCCAACGCTGGCCTTGCACACATCGGTATCAACACACAGTCCCCAGTTAGTGTTCCACCAGTTAAAGTTCATGTTGTAAACCACGAAGTTACCACAGTTCCTTATGAATATCTCAGATGTAGTACTGGTGTACGTAGAGGCAGCAGTAGTGAAGGAGACAATCCTCCGAACTACACCTTCCTCAGTGGAGGGGTGTTCCCCATTCAACCATCCTGGGTACTGTGTTCCACAGGACATGTACTCTTGCTGTACCTCCGTGATCCTGTTATGTCCCACTCCCGTGAATCTGAACCATCCTCTGTAGGGAGAGGTGTCCATCTTCTGGTAATCCCTCTTGTAGGTTGTTCCCTCTGTCTTTGTGAAGGCTGTTCTCCATGTTTCTCCATCAAATGTCTCGTGGCTCTTAGCATCACAGATATCTTCCTCTACGCACATGTTCCTCCTAGCAGCAGCGGCTGGAGCGTACAGATACCTCATTTTACCGTTACAGTTCTTCATCTTCATAGGCATGGGCTGGTAACACACATCATTAGAACCCTGGTCCCTGTAGCAGGCTCTAGTGTCAATCACTCCCTCATTGGGTCCCGGAGCAGGATCCTCAACCCAACCAGCTTGGATACCACCACAGAAGTACGGAACAGGGGGCTGGTGAACAAATCTCTTCTTGTGGATGGTCACCTCCATCCAGGTGGGGATCTTGTACACTTGGTAGTCAGCGGGGAAGCCGCTGTCATAGTAGTGACCAGTTCCATGCCTCTCGTCAGTGACGTATCTGATACCAGAGTCTGGGATCTTACAAACCTCATCGGGAGACTCGTCAATACAATATCGATAACTACCGCCGGCGATGGTGTATAATTTGTAGAGGTAGAACTGTTTGTTGTTTCTCATACAAGAAACCACCTTGATATCCTTGGAAGCACCACAATTGTTATCAGTACTGGTTACGAAGCAAATCTTCCTGTCTACCACTCTCTCAGCTGGGATGGGGTGTTCTCCCTCCATCCAACCAGGATACCGTGTACCACACGACATGTAACCAGGAGCTTCAGTTGGCATGCGCTCCAGACCTGTTGTGATCTTGACCCATTTGTTACCCAGACCTGAATCTGCTTTCTGTGTGGAGCTGTAGAACCCAGAGGTTGATGTGTATTGCAGCCTGCTGTTTTCTTCCCTTCCCCACTCTTCTGACGCTACATCGCACACATCAGAATCAGCGCAGTATCCGTAGTTACCGTTAGCAGTAGGTAGGAGATGATAAACGTAGAATCCACCAGGACACTTCTTTACCCTGGCATCACGAGGACTGGAGCACTTAGCAGAGGCACTCGTCACGAAACAGTATTGTCCTTTGACCATGCTTCCGACCTCAGTAGGCATCTCACCATTGTACCATCCAGCATACCTGTTTCCACAGCTGATCTCCTCTGGTACAAATTTAGGCATCACTCCTAGTCCTGTTTCAATCTTGACCCATTTTGGACCGCCGGTGTGGTCGTTGTTGCCGATGTTGGTGTTATACCAAGGACTTCTCGTGTCTTGAGTCATCCTTTCGTGTTTGTTACAGGGATCCTCCTCGACACAGTAGGCACCGTTGTAGGACGTCAGGGGAGATACGTTGGGCACGTGGTAGTAAATGTAATCATCGTTCATACAGTGACACTCCATAATGTACCCAGTTCTCCAGGTCCAGTTGTTGTCTGCGTACACCTGGTAAAGTTGTTTCTGCGCGCAGGTGCCTTTCTCAGCGTGATCTGCGTTCATGTAGATAGGGTAATCAGCTCCACAGAAGTTCTTTCTTACCGGGTAGTTAGCCATCCTCTTACCGTGAGTAGCAAACTTGTACCAACCCTCAGGAATGAGCCTATCAGCTTTACCGGTTCCGGGCTGGCTCGATCCTCTCCACTCATCATTCAGTGGTTTTGCGTTCTTGCAGACGTTGTCCATTGAATCATCTACACAGTATCTTGAGGCGGAGTAAGGAGGCGAAGCTGTGAGGTAGTACATCATTTTGTCGTTTCCGCAATTTCTCACATTGATTTCCTTCTGCCAATTGCAAGGATTTGCACCGTTAACCGCACAGAGGGTCCTCTTTACGACTCCCTCGCCTGGGGTGGGATCAGGATCATCCAACCATGTTGGGTAATCTGTCCTACAAGACTTGGGTGCGGGTGGAGACTTGGGCATCACTCCGTTACCAACAGTAAACTGGTACCATCCCTCAGCCAGTCCGTTGTCGTTAGTCATAGAGCTGCTACGACCGTATATGCTCCTGTCTTCTTGATCGAATACTCTGGGATCAGAGTCACAAGGCTCACTTGCGACGGTGTACCCACGGCCATCTTGTGTTGGGACCAGTTTGTAGATGTAGAAGGCTCCGCAGTTTTTGACCTTGATATTCTTGGCGACATGTTTGCAGTTGGCGCCTGTTCTGAAATATACGATCCTTGATACTGTCTCCCCAACATCCGGGTGTCCTCCAGTCATCCAACCAGGATAATCGGTACCGCCGTATTGTGTGGGAACACACTCTTCGTTTATCTTCTTGAGTCCGTTGTTGAACCTGTACCAACCAGGTTTCAGGGTGGTGTCAGCCTGGTTATCTGTTGTTGGCTTCCAGGCCAACCTTCTGTCGTCATCAATCACCTCGTATTCTGAAGCGTCACATGAGTCTGCCTCAACGTTGTAAGTGGTGTGACCGTTACCTTGCCTTGGCAGCCAGTAGACGGGGTAATCTCCACAGTTCTTTACGTGACTCTTGAGAGATGTCCATGTGCAGGTACTGCTGTGTCTCCACATTACCGTGAACTCTTTTACTGGTTCGTCAACAGCGGGCATCTCCAGATCGTACGCGTATGAAGGATAGTAACCACCACCGTGCTTGTAGTCAGGACAATGAGACGCCATCCTGCCCAGACCTGTTGTGAATCTGTACCAGCCAATCTCGAGAGTGTGGTCTGATTTATCGATAGTAGCACTATATTCGGTACTTCTCCAATCATCTCCTAGTTCTTTATAGCTCTTGCACATGCTGTCGTCAGCGCTCTCAACACAGACTCCGTAGTTTGTAGTTGCTGGTTCCAGATGGTACAAGTAGTGACCACCGCAGTTGACCACCTGAGCCTTCTTGCAGTTGCTCTCAGCGCCGTTGCCGGTGTCATAGCATATTTTGGTGTTTACTGTGCCCTCTGAGGCGGCAGGGTGTCGACCAAGTGTCATCCAGCCTTGATAGGTTGCTCCACATTTAGCCTCTTCTCTGGTGTGAGCCAGTCTCTCGTTTCCAATGGATACCCTGTACCAGCCAATAGCCTGTGTGTCCTTTCCACCAGCTGACTTAGGTGTGCCTGAGAGTCTCCATGTCTCATCTAGAGGAGTACCCTCAACCATAGAACAGACATCAGTCTCCACACAGATAGAGTAGCTAGCACTGGGTGACTTGTTCAGGTAATACAGTTCCTTGTTGGCGCACTTCTTCATTGAGATAACTTGGCAGGAGCTCTGATCGGCAGTGGCACTGGTTCTGTAGCAGATTCTGCCTGGTACAATACCGTCCTCTATCTTGGGCTCAGGAGAGTTGATGTAACCGGGATAGGTGGAACCACAATCGTACACGTCTGAAGGAGAGTAAGCAAGACGTTTGTTACCAACCTTCACTTCGTACCACCCAGAGCTGAGGACGTGCCATTCGTTCTCTGTCTTTTCTCCGAGCCATTGCAGATAGTTGGTAGCGTAGATCCACTTGATCTCGCTCGACTCACACACATCCTCTTCAACGCAGTAGGCGAGCTGGTTCTGGTTAATGTTGAACAGTCTGTATACCCAGTATCCGTCACATTGGAGTCCTAAGTTCCTGTAGGTAGTTCCAGTGAATCCGGTGGTATGCGTTCTCAGGGCAAGCAGAGCGTCACCGTTCTCCTGATCCTTCTCCAAAACGTCACTGATGAGAACTTTGTATTTTCCACCACAGTTCTCTTCCTTGACTTGGAAAGCAGTGAGACGACCCAAACCGCTCATGAATCTGTAATAATCGTCTTGCACGATCTTCTGTTGATCGTGAATGTATTCAGTGGTAGGAGTCAACATTCCTCTCTTGGGGTTGTTCAACTTAGTGGCAGCCTCACATACCGCAGTCTTGTCTTGTTCAACACAATGACCGTACTGGTTGTTTGGAGGTGGTTTTGCAATACCGTACACGTAGTACTCTCCGCAGTTCTTTATGGAGATCTCGTTAAAAGAGGCGCAGTCGTTTCCGTTATACTTCCAACATACCTTTCTTTGTACAACTCCTTCGTTATCCTTGGGGTGTACCCCGTCTATCCAACCCTGGTAGTCAGTGGTACACATGTTAGTAATTGCAGGAGGTTCCTCCATCATCCTTCCTTTTCCTATTGTGTATCTTATCCAGCCGTTGAACTTGTTGTCAAGGTCGAATCTAGTGAAGCCAGTTCCGTATTTGTGAGAGTAATGCAGTCTCCTGACATCGTCCACCTCTCTGTATACATCCTCAGAGCACACGTCCGTGTCCGCGACGTAACAGTAGTCGTTAGCGATGCTCTTGGTCAGGAAGTAGACGTATTTATCTCCACAGTTCTCTACCTCGATAAGTTGCTCCTTGTCAACACCGGGGAACCTCATAATCCTTGGTACGGCTCCCTCTCCCTCTTTAGGATGAGAGTCTATGTATCCGTTATAAGTGCAACCTCCTACAGATCTAGGAGGGGGTGACTCTGGAATCCTCTTGAGACCCTGAGTGAAGTAGACCCAGCCGTCGTTACCGAACACACTGCTCTCATATCTTCCTGTCATCAGTTTCCTGCTGTTCACTCTCCACATGCTTTCAAGTTCTCTGGCGTTCTTACACCCGGGTGTTGCCTCGCAATATCTGTAATCAGCACTTGGAGACTCTCTAAGACGGTACAAGAAGAACCCATCACAGGTCTTCACCCAAGTTCTCCTGTTAGAAGCTACACTTACACTTGTACTCATAAATCTCACGTTATTCTCTACAATACCTTCTTCCTGTGTGGGATGAGAATACTGGAGATGTCCGTGGTACTTGGTGGAACATTGTGTGCCGATGAATGTTGAGGTTGGCATGTATCCAAGTCCTGCTGTTAGACGGTACCACCCCTCAGCCAGGTAGGCGTCAGAGGTTCCAGTTCCGGTAGCGACCGAGGAGACAAGTCTCATCTTGTCGTCAGTCTCTGTGTATCTGTCGTCTTCACATACGCTATCGTCATCGTCATCAACTACGACACCGGATCTGGTATAACTCCCACTCAGAGGTGGGATTTTGTAGACGAAGTAAGCACCGCAGTTCTTGATGGTCATCTTCCAAGTCCAGCCAATATACCGATCACTGGCTCCTCTTAGTTCGGTTCCAGGACTTCTGTAGTGCTCCATGATCAGCTCCTCGCTTATATCTCCTGCATTAGGGACTTTAGCGTGAGAGCCATCCTCGAACTGGTAAGGATACTGGAATCCTCCTCTCCAGTTTGATTTTATCTTGGGGTACTCGGCAAGTCTACCATTACCATTCATAAATCTATACCATGATGTGTATGTAACGAAGAATCTGTTGTCGTTATTCCAGGGGTTGTTCAGCTCTGAAGGGTTAGAGTAAAGTCTGTTGTCCTGATCTACCTCCTCGTAGCTTCCCTTCTGGCACAGATTATCTGCAATCGCGTAGAAGTAGTTGTTGGAGAATGGTCGGATATAGTAGATATATTTAGTTCCACAGTTCCTGATGTAAATTTTAGTGCTTGCTCCCTTGTTGTTCGTATCGGTCGTTGTGAAAAACACTGTCCTCTCAACAATTCCTTCGGTCTCAGCAGGGTGCTCTCCCTCAATCCATCCAGGGTACTTGCCATTTCCTCCGTGTTTGTAGAGAGTCTTCTCTGTAGCAAGCTGCTTCTCTCCAATTGTTACTTCGTACCACCCAGCCTTCAGTGTGCTGTCTGTCTGTGTAATAGCATCCAGGTTGTACTGAAGTCTCCACTCCTGATCCATCTTCATTGTCTCCAGCTTGCAGACGTCCTGCTCAAAGTTATATCCATAGTTAGCAGCAGTCTGTTGTAGATGGTACACGTAGAAGTTCTTACAGTTCCTGACAGTCACTGGTCTCTCTTGGTAACATGGGTTACCGTTGTAAGAGAAACAGGCTCTTCCGGTCTTTTCATCGTCTTCTTCCAGAGGATACTCTCCATCATACCATCCAGGGTAGGTGATACCACTGTGTCCAGGTAGGACAGGTGACTTAGCCATAATACCTTCATCCCTGGGGAATCTGTACCAGCCGTGTTCCAGAGTGTTGTCACTGATTTTATCAGCACTGGCGGTTCTGCCAGCTCTGCCATCCTGGTCCAACTTTTTGTACACAGTGCTGGAGCATGGATCCTGTTCTACACAGAACACACGGTCACATCCAGAGGGTTTGACCCATTTGTAGATGTAATCGTCTCCGTCATCTTTGTTACCACAGTTGAGGATGTGTCCGTTTAGAGCGCTGGCTTTGCAGTTGGAAGCTGAAGAGTAGTAGAATGTTCTTCCTACAATTCCCTCGCCTGCAGCTGGATGACCAAGTTCTCCCCCGACATAGTACCCTGTGTCTCCGCCACATTTGTTGGGAGCCACACAATGATCCGGCATCTTCTTCTCGTACACGTTCATACGGTACCAGCTCTCAAAGTCGCTCAGACCAAGTGTGTCACAGTGATCACGTGTCTTATCAATAGTTGTTCCTCTCCATTCCTCAGACAGCTCCACAGCGTTCTTACACACGTCGGAGAAGTCTTCATCTACACAATACCCAGAGTAGGATATTATCCTGGTATACTTGTGGTAGTATGTTTCTCCACACTTGACGATATAAACTGGATGAGAGTTGGTAATGGAGCATACGTTAGATGCAGAAGTGGCAGCGTGCCCCATCAACATAGAAATCTTACCTTCTTCTGTGGGGTACTCACCTCCCAGCCACATAGGGTATCTCCAACCACAGTGGTGGATACCTGGACAGGTCCTCTTCATGGTTCCTTTACCAGCGGCGAAGGAGAACCAGTTGTCGGTGTTATCTGTTTGGATGGGATCGTGACTATTAGAAGTAGAAGTTTGGAGCTCTCCTCTTGCCCACGTGTCTTCTTTCAGGGTAAATGTACTATCATTACACACATCTGGCTGTTCAGCGGGAGCCACACAGTAAGCTCCGTTATAAGAGCTGGTTACTGGAGAGTTGTAAGTAAGCATATAGACCATGTAGCTGCCACAGTTCTTCATGCGGATAGCTCTTTTGTAGGTACAACAGTTACCGTTAGTGAAATGTGAGCACACTTCTCCGTCAGTGATACCTGCATCCTCTTCAGGGTGCTCTGAGTTCAGCCAGATAGGGTAGATACCTCCACAACTGTACATCAGGGGGCAGGTGGTCAGGAGCCTTCCTGAACCACTCATAAACCTGGTCCAGCCCTTCACAGCGTAGTTGTTAAGTCTGGAGCCTGGAGGTTTTTGGTAAACCTGTGTGTTACGCTCGTCCGCGTATTCCACGTACACTTTGGGTGAGCATGGATCGCAAAGGGGGTTGACTGCTGTTTTGTCAGCGGCAGCAGAGTCACAAGCTGGCCATTCTTTCTCAACAGCTTCTTCGCCGTCGGCTCTCAGTCCTGTTACTGCTGCAAGAAACAGCACACAAAGACTTGACAACCTCATAACATTTGCTTTGTACTTTCTTCTATTTGCTATCAAAGGTGGCGGTGTTAATTATCTTAATGATCTAACAAATCTATTTACGTGATAAATAGTGATAATAAAGTAACTGGTGAACACCTGGCACAACTTAGCGAGTTTTTAAAAGGTTTGAGAGTTAGCTGTACTCCCTAAGGTCTCTTTAATAAGTATAACTACAACATAAACAAAGTAGATTAGAGTAAATAAAATTCAAGTGGCAACTAAGGGGACATACACCAAAACCGTTTGAAAAAATTCGTTTCTCCTTTTTAAGGTTTTTTGCTACTTTTAAAAAGTTTAGTTTAGTTAATTTCTTAACGCAGAAAATAGAGCTGGCGACTTTTCTATATTATTTAGAAGTACGACAGCACAAATTTTTCTGTTGCATACATTTTTCAAAAAATAAAATACGAATTATTTCAAATTTTAGGTGCACATTAATTAATTTTTTGCACTAACCACCTTAAGTTTTCCTTAAAAACGTCGAGATTCTTTTCAGAGGTTGAATTATATAGGCGCCGATGCAGCGTTGCTACAATTTAACAATGTTCAGTTCTACACAGAACATTAAACATAGTCCTAATCCTCCTCGAGTCCTAATCCTCCTCGAGTCCTAAGATGGCGTTTCTCTTGTCTCATATATAATAATTAGACTAACAGGAATTAAGAATATCATCTGACCTAGTTGTGTTACATAATTAAGTTAATTATTAACGCATAGAGTAGCTACTTATAGCGTGTTCTGACCGTCAAGACACAGCGAAGGTACTTAAAATGTGTATTTGAGGGACCACATGCAAAACTGGTATATCTGAACATATACCAATTTTGCGCAGGTAGCTCATAGTCTTCAGGGTGAAAAGGTGCATCTTTGGAACTTTTTTTGAACAATTTTGAAGAAATTTTTGAAAAAAAGTGAAATTTTATTTTTCCAAAACTGGTATATGTTACAATATACCATTTTAGCTTTTAACAATCATGAAAACAAAATGGTATATCTGCAGATAGACCACCTTCAAGAAACTTATCTTCTATAAAACTGGTATATCTATACACATTTTATAGACTTTAGCCAGCCCAAATGGTATATCTTCAGATATACCATTCTCAGTTAAATTATTTTATTGTTTATAGTATAGAAAAAATGGTATATCGTGAGATATACCAGTTTTGGTACAATTCTAGTTTTTAAAATGGTATATAGACAGATATACCATTTTTTAGAAGTGTTTTATACACATGATATAGAATCTTTAAATCAGTAAAATGCATTTATCTCAAAACTATCAAAAACAGACATTTGCTATGTTGTGGAGCTGATATTATATCACAAAGAAGCGGGTTGCGTGGAGGTCAAATAATTAAATACTCAAATCACGCTGAAATAATAAGGAGGATTTAATGTTTGTAAATCAGGATAAAACTTCCTACTCTTGAAGATTGCAACAGTTGAGATGGATTAGACAATGATTAGACTTCCACTCCACTTGACCATTTGAAATCTATAAGTATAATTATTGAACGAGAAGGTCCTACAATCTTCAGGAGCATTTTAAGGTATTTTGTTTCTTCAGTAAAAATTAGTTCATTTTTACCCTGGTATACTGATTGTATCATAGAACTAGAAGGTCATTTAGAAACCCCCATCAAATAATATATTCAGATTTAAATAACTATTATATCGTGATAGTTTTCCCATAGTCTAAAAAGGGCGTAGCTGAGGTTTAAAGATACATGAAAAATTATCCACCCAAATTTTGGTTGAAGTATAAAAGACCCTAGGGAGCACAATTAATAACTTTACAAACCTTCTAAACTCGCTAAGTTGCGCCAGGTTTTAACAAGAAACATGATTATAGATTATTGTGAGTATTAGCAACAATTGCGAAAATATTGCTAAGTACCGTAGTAAGTTAGAAATGGTGTCAATTGGAAAGTCGAATACTATAGAAGGAAATCTTATTAATTATATTCTTAACCAGCTTGAGTAATTATAAACGATAATGAAACGAATCAAGAAACATACGAATAACACGTACTCCAGTTAACTATATTCAAATACTGCAGTTTCAGCTGAACAGCTCGAGTAAACATGAAATACGGGTTTGTGATGTGGCAGTGTGGCGCCCGCACGGCTAACAGATTGTCCGGTTGAAGCACAGGTTTCTATGAGGTCTGACAAAGACTTATAGAGAGAAGAGAAGAGAAGAAAATGACAAAAGATTATAACGATGAGCTGTCCTCCAATCTAACTCTCTAATATCGTGGAGATTAAACAGAACAGAAAAATGTGCACGAAGTTAGACGTGTAATCACTGAGTAGACAAGAGTCTAATTATCTGTAGCTATCAGACAATCCAGGTCAACTAATGGGGACGTGTGGAACACATGAGTGAAGACTATTAATAGTTCCTAGTGACAACCCTGGAGGAGAAATGGGTGGTTGAAGACAGGTCATCATGTTAGCTCACAGTTGTGCCCTATATTACGACAAAAACATTATATTCATCGCCGGGCAAGAAGACCGCTAAAAGGGCTTAGAATAACTTAGCGATTGGTATGCCACGTCTCGTGACAAACTAGTTGAAGCTCAGTGTTCTGATTGGTTCACTAAGATCACGTGATTTTTCAAATTGGGCGGAGAACTAGAAGTGTGGGAGGAGAACTAGAAGTGGATAACTAGAAGTGTGCCGGTCTTCTATGTGATAAACAACACCACCAGTCCACCACCATGATCAGCCATTTGTTCACCGAGTTTTAAGTTAAGATCTAAAGTCTCTGCTACTCTTTAGTCAGTAGTAAAGACTGTTAACTGAACTTTGGGTTTTAGCCAACGCCCAATGACAGTCTTCACTCGATGAGGAACGTGCCAACAGGGCGTCAGTTCTTTACTAAGTTGTAAGCTCAACCAAATTTGCCGGGCTAGAAGACCGTTAAATTAAAGGTCTTAGCGATCGGTGTGCCACGTCTGGTGACAAACCAGTTCAGTGACAAACCAGTTCCGTTTTCTGACGTCAAAATCGTATATCGAGAGGAAGGTATTATTAATAGGTACGGACTTCGGTAAAGTAAACCGAAAAAAATATGTTAAGCTCATAATGATCAGGGTAGCATAAACCGTGGAAAACAATCGGTTTACAGGAATCCATTTTCACAAGCATTTCTTAACGCACTTGTCTACTGACGTAACATTGTTATATTATATTATATATTAGCCAAAAACGTTGTAAAAGTTGACACTAGACATAAAGTTGACCACTATAAGAAGTAGACATATAAAACTTGACCACTATACATAAACTTGACCACTATAGAAACCCCAATCAATGTAGGGAAACCTGCAAACATTCGCATGACGATGACTTACCCCACTTAAGGAATTGTGCGAGAAGATGAACAAAGGCAAAGATGAGGAAATAAAATAATATGTAATGTGTTATGCAAGGTTAGTTAGGCTTAACTATAAGCTCAATCTATACGGTCAACAGCTCATGAGGGTAAAGGAATTGGAAATAGTTCTACGAACATTGTGATAGCGAAAAACTTATACAAAGGATACCAGTTACCTGTACCACAATGCTGGCAACATGACGCCACCTCTAAGACGCCCACAAAACGCCACTGGGCTGAAAAATTTTGCCACTACTCGATAGATCTAAAGATGTAAAGTGATTTAAACCTCATTCTGTCCGATAACCATAATATTAATATGCCAGAACCACGTGCCTAAGAACAACTTGTTCACTTGAAGAACTGTGGAAATTTCTGGAATCTACGAAAAAATACCCATTGTACACAATAGCATAAAATGTAAAATGTTTTAAAATAACCGTGTATAAACGGTTATGATTACAGGAGTGTCTGCTTTTTTCTCGGACGATGAGCCCTCGGTCCCCACAAAAAATAATCTTTAGAATTATAGTTAAGACTAGTAGTAAAATTTGTGAAAAGGAGCTCATGGTCAGTCTATAAAACACATGAAAAGCAGTGTGCTCCATACCCCTTAGTCTCTAGCTTTGTCATCAAAGCACGTGATTCGATCACGTGATGTTATCTCATTGTAAACAGGTAAGGGTTTATTTGTTTGATTACGTGTAGTATGGTAAATTATTAACAAAAATTAACTAATAATATTATGTAGTGGATTTGAAGTGGAACATCGAGTTCCGTTCTGGCGAGCTGGGAGGAACTTTCGAGATCGTCTGGAAGGGCTGATCTAAAAGCAAGCTCTGCTCAGTATTTATAGCTAATCTAATTACTACTAGACTAACAAGCTAGTTTAAGTTAACGAATATATGACATCCAACTTTGCTATGCAAATTTACTATTTTCGAGATTTTCGCCGCGATTTTGCCTAGTTTGGCATGTCGCGGCGCCGCGATTTTTGGCCTAAATAATCGCAATTTTTTTGTTCTTGTAGGTACTGGAAGCTGTGTATCCGGAAAAAACATTGATGGAATGAAAATTTTGGAAATGTCCTATCGGTAGGACATTTTCAAATTTCGGCTTTCTGCGTCCCAATTTTTACTGTGTTGACTGACATTTTCATCTAGCAAGGTTACTGAGGATGGCACAAGACACGATTGAGGAACTGAAAGTTCTATTCCTAAAGAAAGCTTTGATAAACGGAAAATCATCAGAATGATGATTTTTGAAGAGAAGCTTTCCTGCCGTCTCATTGACTGAGATTTCACAGTTTTGAAGCTGAATATTTGAACAGTGACAAATCAGTAAGATAGAAACTGAGTTACCGAGAGAGAATGAAAGAAAATGACAAGCGATTATAACGATGATCTGTTCTCCTGTCAAATATTGTGGAGACTAAACAGAACTGAAATATGTGAAGTATTTGACGTGTAATCGCTTAGTAGACAAGAGTGCAATTAACTAGATGTCAGAAAATACACGTAAACTATTTAACTAATGGGGGACGTGTGGAACACATGAGTGAAGACTATTAATAGTTCCTGATGAGGACCCTGGAGCGGGAGGTTGAAGAGAGGTCATCATGTTAGGTCACATTCGTGCCCTTTGAATTGAATTGAACATTCGATTCATCGCCGGGCAAGAAGATCGTGAAAGGACTTACAATAACTGCACTTAGCGATTGGTGAGCCAGACAGAGAACTAGACTTGTGCCGGTGTTCTATGTGATAAACAACACCACCTTCAGTCTGTTAGTGTTATTCACCTGCTATTCACCGAGCAGGCTTTAATATTGAAATCTAAAAGTTGAATATCCGGAGCTTAAAGTTAAAGTTTAATGAAAATCACACCACCTGCTTCGAGGCGTTCATTGTACAACTACAAGTTTTTGTACCAATTTTATGCTGCTCCAGTTTTCGAGCTGTCGTATCTCCAAGAGGTGTGCGGCTGAAAAACCACTCAACCTATAATTCACCTCCGTTCTTCATGAGGAGCTGGTACTTCCAAATGTCGATCTTGTTACCATTCCCTCGCCTACTATAACTACCTTCCGCTATAAATTTCAATTTACTCAAAGGTGATGGCCACATTTATATACAATTTATGACCTTGAAGCAGCATATCATATTGATATATGATATGACCTATTTTGGAGTAATTGGCCAAAATATGATTTTTATAGAAATATATTAGACGGTTATACTTATAGATGCGTTTAAACTATCTGCAGGGCCAGGGAGTGACGAGATAAGCCTGTAAAGCATGACCGGGACTCACTTCCAAGCGAGGGGCCCTCGACAAGAATATAGGTTTGTAAATTCCTTTTCGAAACATTATCAGGATAATGTTAACAGAGAGACCGGAATTTCCGCTAGAAAAACAAAATTATTAAGCGTTGTTAGGTTGTAGGTATTGTGAACTAAGGCATAAGCTGATAAGCTCATTGAGCTCCAGCAAATTATTTGTCATCTTGGAGTTAGACCTTAGTGTAAGCTCAAACCATAAAGTGCGGTGATTCACGTCTCTCGATCAGTGGCGTCTGATTTAAAATGTGAATAATAAAGTGATCGAAGCAAACAAGCGGATAGAAAGGACAAATAATTATTTAATATCAACAACATTTACATTGATAAATATGACCAATGTGGAGAACTGGAGGGCGGAGGACAGAAAAGTGGAGATCCCTTGTGAGTTGTGTCCTATACCCACTGAACTCATTAATGTCTGCATCAACGTCGATAAGCATTGTATTGTAAAAGGTAGAATTAGCAACTCCATGAGGTTTGAGACGTTACATCTTCCAGCAACACACATTTCGAAAATACGACAATAGGTTCCTCCTCAAAATGTGTCTGCGAATCTTATAGGAGCGCAAATTTCCCTTTGAATCAGAAAAGCTTTTGTTAACGAAGAAGCTTACGTTACGTGTATAACTGAACAACCCGATGAGGTAGTGAGAAGGAGAGTCGTGGGTTTGGTATTCTGAGTAGAGTTAAGTTCGACATTGGGGGGTTTTATTTGATCTTGAAAGACAGCTTAAGTTTCCTAACGAAATAATGGTAACACGACTTAGACCAGACCTGGTTATTTTCTCAATGTCTGCATGCTAAGAAAGTGTTGCGGTGGCAGTTAAAAGTGCCCTCTGAAAAAAGGATCGCAGAATCTCATGAGTCTCGACAGTCTTCAGGCGAAGATTCAGACAAAATGAAAATGAAAAGGATGGTCCTGCATCAGTTTTGCTGTTGATGTTGGAGCAAGAAAGGTTATAATTGCTGATGGAAATTTAGAGGAATGGAGCTGAAGAAGCTGACGAGGGATCAGAAGAGTGGGAAAGAAGTAACTATAAGCAGCCTATTGTTTTAGGTGGATCTGGTTCAAGGACAAAAGAAAATCGCGATTATTTAGGCCAAAAACCGTGGTGCCGCGACATAACATTAACAAGCCTGAAGCCAAACTAGGCGAAATCGTGGCGAAAATCTCGAAACTCGCAGCAAAAGATAATGTATTTGCACGAATAGAATTATGAATTAGGGGTAGACTGGTTTGTAGGGTAATGACTTGCTAGTTGGTTTGTGTGTACGACTTAGAGGTGGCTACTTAAAGGTTGCGGCATGTTGCCAGCATTATGGTATCTTTTGTATAGGTTTTTCACTATCACGTTCATCACGTTCATCATGTTCATGTTCGTAGAAATATTTCCTATACCCTCATGAGTTTTTGTTTATATTGTGTTCGCAAAGGTATGTTATAAAGTTATAATATAAATTAATTGTCTTAACAATTGATTTCACATAGCCATGTGCCTACGCGTACTGCGTGACGCGCTTGTTTCACCGCCTCCGGCGGTCGCGCGCTACTGCAAGCGAGAGGGCTCTGGTTAGAGCAAACAATTGATCAATATTCTCATTGTAGGTTTACAACCTAACAGGACGCGCGCCGAGTTGGACTCGTCGACGGTCTTGATTCACGATGTCAATCCTTCGTAGCTCGGTGAGGCACAGTGGTGCATTTCGCCGATCTACCGAAGTGGTTGCGAGAAGAATTATTTGATGCGCGGCGCGACCCAGTAGTGCATCGCGCTACAAGTCTTGTGCCATCCTCAGTAACCTTGCTAGATGGTCATTCAAGAAAATGTCAGTCAAAACAGTAAAAATTGGGTCGCAGAAAGCCGAAATTTGAAAATGTCCTACCGATAGGACATTTCCAAAATTTTCATTCCATCAATGTTTTCTCCGGATACACAGCTTCCAGTACCTATACAATGACAAAAAATTGCGATTATTTCACCCCAGCGAACGCCGCGGGCTTCATGCGCCGCTAAAACGTTTAAATTTCATTTTTATAATTCTCCCAAGACTCCTGTTAAGACAAATTGCGAATGTTTAGCTTTAAAACTACTCTGTTCTTAAAACAATTGTTTTAATCATCGAATACTGAAGAGTTCAATTCAATCCAAGGTAAATTGTTCAAATTATGAGTGATCATGAATGAAAAATGAATAATTTACACGTAAAATTTGCCTCAAAATTTGTCTTGAAAAATAACCATAACTCTGGCTATGATTTGAATTTTGAAAATTTAAAATGCTAGTGCCGCGCACAAAAATGTTCCGCGCATTTAAAACGTGTCGATAATGTGCCCAAACCAATGTCGCGTTGGATAATAGTATCCAAGCTGGTTGAATTCACACTTTTCATTTCTTGTTCCAGTTTGTAGCTTTGTGTGGCAGCCATATTGGTTTTGTGCGTGCGCTTATATTGCGCGTTATCTATATATCTTACCGTTAAATGTACGTTTACAGATTTAATCGAGATCTCTGCGAGGCTTTCATAATTATGTATGATATAGCTTGATATGCTGTTACTTCAAATTGCTGTAATTTCTATTTATATTGACTGAAGTAGAGTACAAAATAAAATTATTTGCTCTCTAATTTTAAGGATGTCGACCTGCAACTGAAATTGAGTGATATTCGACTATTTCAATTTAGATTCGCTAGTCAACAAAATGATTGCTCACTCCGAAATAACGACTTTCAAGGAATGGTATGTACCCTATTATTTACAACAAGGCTCCCAGCATTATAGTAAAACATAGACAATAGACAATATTTTAATATAAACTATAATTAATTTTTGACCGGGAACATTCAGCAGTTAACTTTGTCGTATTTTAAAACAAGTAACTCGGGCCCAGTTCGTAGAGAAGATGGATTTGCTGTATTTTAAAACAAGTAACTCGGGCCCAGTTCGTAGAGAAGATGGATTTGCTGTATTTTAAAACAAGTAACTCGGGCCCAGTTCGTAGAGAAGATGGATTTGCTGTATTTTAAAACAAGTAACTCGGGCCCAGTTCGTAGAGAAGATGGATTTGCTGTATTTTAAAACAAGTAACTCGGGCCCAGTTCGTAGAGAAGATGGATTTGCTGTATTTTGAAACAAGTAACTCGGGCCCAGTTCGTAGAGAAGATGGATTTGCTGTATTTTAAAACAAGTCACTCGGGCCCAGTTCGTAGAGAAGATGGATTTGCTGTATTTTAAAACAAGTAACTCGGGCCCAGTTCGTAGAGAAGATGGATTTGCTGTATTTTAAAACAAGTCACTCGGGCCCAGTTCGTAGAGATGATGGATTTGCTGTATTTTAAAACAAGTAACTCGGGCCCAATTCGTAGAGAAGATGGATTTGCTGTATTTTAAAACAAGTAACTCGGGCCCAGTTCGTAGAGAAGATGGATTTGCTGTATTTTAAAACAAGTAACTCGGGCCCAGTTCGTAGAGAAGATGGATTTGCTGTATTTTAAAACAAGTAACTCGGGCCCAGTTCGTAGAGAAGATGGATTTGCTGTATTTTAAAACAAGTAACTCGGGCCCAGTTCGTAGAGAAGATGGATTTGCTGTATTTTAAAACAAGTAACTCGGGCCCAGTTCGTAGAGAAGATGGATTTGCTGTATTTTAAAACAAGTAACTCGGGCCCAGTTCGTAGAGAAGATGGATTTGCTGTATTTTAAAACAAGTCACTCGGGCCCAGTTCGTAGAGAAGATGGATTTGCTGTATTTTAAAACAAGTAACTCGGGCCCAGTTCGTAGAGAAGATGGATTTGCTGTATTTTAAAACAAGTCACTCGGGCCCAGTTCGTAGAGATGATGGATTTGCTGTATTTTAAAACAAGTAACTCGGGCCCAATTCGTAGAGAAGATGGATTTGCTGTATTTTAAAACAAGTAACTCGGGCCCAGTTCGTAGAGAAGATGGATTTGCTGTATTTTAAAACAAGTAACTCGGGCCCAGTTCGTAGAGAAGATGGATTTGCTGTATTTTAAAACAAGTAACTCGGGCCCAGTTCGTAGAGAAGATGGATTTGCTGTATTTTAAAACAAGTAACTCGGGCCCAGTTCGTAGAGAAGATGGATTTGCTGTATTTTAAAACAAGTCACTCGGGCCCAGTTCGTAGAGAAGATGGATTTGCTGTATTTTAAAACAAGTAACTCGGGCCCAGTTCGTAGAGAAGATGGATTTGCTGTATTTTAAAACAAGTCACTCGGGCCCAGTTCGTAGAGAAGATGGATTTGCTGTATTTTAAAACAAGTAACTCGGGCCCAGTTCGTAGAGAAGATGGATTTGCTGTATTTTAAAACAAGTCACTCGGGCCCAGTTCGTAGAGATGATGGATTTGCTGTATTTTAAAACAAGTAACTCGGGCCCAATTCGTAGAGAAGATGGATTTGCTGTATTTTAAAACAAGTAACTCGGGCCCAGTTCGTAGAGAAGATGGATTTGCTGTATTTTAAAACAAGTAACTCGGGCCCAGTTCGTAGAGAAGATGGATTTGCTGTATTTTAAAACAAGTAACTCGGGCCCAGTTCGTAGAGAAGATGGATTTGCTGTATTTTAAAACAAGTAACTCGGGCCCAGTTCGTAGAGAAGATGGATTTGCTGTATTTTAAAACAAGTAACTCGGGCCCAGTTCGTAGAGAAGATGGATTTGCTGTATTTTAAAACAAGTAACTCGGGCCCAGTTCGTAGAGAAGATGGATTTGCTGTATTTTAAAACAAGTAACTCGGGCCCAGTTCGTAGAGAAGATGGATTTGCTGTATTTTAAAACAAGTAACTCGGGCCCAGTTCGTAGAGAAGATGGATTTGCTGTATTTTAAAACAAGTAACTCGGGCCCAGTTCGTAGAGAAGATGGATTTGCTGTATTTTAAAACAAGTCACTCGGGCCCAGTTCGTAGAGAAGATGGATTTGCTGTATTTTAAAACAAGTAACTCGGGCCCAGTTCGTAGAGAAGATGGATTTGCTGTATTTTAAAACAAGTCACTCGGGCCCAGTTCGTAGAGATGATGGATTTGCTGTATTTTAAAACAAGTAACTCGGGCCCAATTCGTAGAGAAGATGGATTTGCTGTATTTTAAAACAAGTAACTCGGGCCAAGTTCGTAGAGAAGATGGATTTGCTGTATTTTAAAA